AGCTTCTCGACTTTTGTTTGTTTGGAAAAATCTATTTTTCCTTTTTCTTAAATTTATTTTTAATTTTTAATATATCTTTATTGATTTCACAGAGAAGGAGAGGAAGAGATAGAATCATCAATGATAAGAGAGTCGTCATTGATCGGCTGCCTCCTGCATGCCCCCAACTGGGGATCGAGCCCACAACCCCAGGCATGTGCCCTGACCGGGAATCGAACCACGATCTCCTGGATCTTAGGTCAATGCTCAACCGCTTAGCCACACCCAGCCGGGCTATTATTCATTTCTGAAGGACTGCTTTGCTTTGCTGGATACTATTTTTTTTTTTTTTAATCCTCACTGGAGGATATGTTTTTTATTGATTTTTTGTTTTGTTTTGTTTTTTGTTAGAGAGAGAGAGACACACACACATCAATGTAAGAGAGAAACATCCTTGGTTGCTTCCCATATGTGCCCCGACCAGGGACTGAACCCAAAACCTAGGTGTGTGTCCTGACCAGGAGTCAAACCCACAACCTTTTTGTGTATGGGACGATGCTCCAGCCAATTGAGTCACCTGGCCAGAGCCTGGATACTATTCTTGGCTAACAGCTCCTTTAATTAAATATTTTGAATACATAATCCTACGTTTTCTTGACCTTCAAAATGTCCATTGAGAAAGTCACTGAGAGTCTTATGGGGGGGTCCCTTGTATGTGACGTCACTTACTTCTTACTGCTTTCAAAATTCTTTTTCTTTGTTTTTTGACAATTTAGTTATAAAGTATGTCGATGTAGCCCTATTCAAGTTTAACCTATTGGGTCCTTTGGGCTTTACAAATATGGGTGTTCATTTCTCTCCGCAACTTTGGAAATTTTCAAATCATTATTGCTTTAACCAGACTTTCTATCTCTGTCTTTTTCATTTTGCCTCCTAGGAGTCCCATAATGTGTTTATGTTTTCCTTGATGATATCTCCTAAGTCCTGTAGGCATTCTTCACTCTTTTCAATGCTCCCTTTGCTCCTCTGTCTGGATAATTTCAAATAACCTGTCTTATAGTTCACTGATTCTTTCTTCTACTTGATTGAGTCTGTTGTGGAAGCTCTTTATTGAATTATTCAGTGCAGTCATTGTCTTCTTAGCTCTAGGAAATCTGTTTGACTTTTTGATAGTTACTTTTACTCTGTTGAACTTCTAATTTTGTTCATGCATAGTTTTCCTCATTTAATTTAGTTGTCTGTCTGTGTGCTCTTGTAGTTTATGTAAATTCTCTAAGAGGATAATCCCAAATTTTTTGTTAGACAGTTTTAAGATCTCCATTTCTTAAAGGGGCAGTTATTATTAGCATTTATTAGTTTGCTTAGGTGACTTCATGTTTACCTGATTCTTCAAGATTCTTGATTCCATGTATTGGTATCAGCACATTTGAGTAAGCAGTCTCTTCTAGAATGTACAGGTTCACTTCAGCATGGGAAGACCTTCATCAATCAGCTCAGGTTGGGATACTAGATGGAATAGCTGGTAGCATTTATGGGCAGGGGAGGCATGTTATGAGGGTCTCAGTTCAGCAAGCCCAGTTCTGTGCTCTGAGGTTAAGGAGTCAATGTTGGTGGTTGGTTGAACTCCCTGATTGTGTGGGGCTGCTGGCTGTGCACTGCATTCAGAGGGGCTCACTTGCTTGGCTTTGCAATTATCTCTGATCTGGTGAGGATGTTAGGGTGGTGTTACTGGTTGGACTTTATGATTGGACAACGTTATAGGGTAGACCCTGTTTGGGTGAAGTTTCAGGCTATGTTCTCCAGCCTGGTTGTAACATAGGATGGACTCTGTGTTTAGGAGGGGCCACAGGCAGGACTTCACTGTCAGATATGACTTCATGCTGTCATCTGTCATAAGGTAGAGCAGAAGCCTGTTCCCTGAGTCAGGCAGGGCCACAATCAGGCCACTGGCTATGCTCTGCTGTTTGGTATGGTTCTTGGCCACACTCTGGTTGGGATGGGCTTCCAACTATGTCCTGCAGTTGGTGGATCTAGAGACTGCTCCACTATTGGGAAAGATTGTAATCCATGCTCCCTCATTGGGTGGGGCTTAAGCTAAACTCTATGTTTGGGTGGGCTCACTGGCTAGGCTACTGCATAGGTGAGGCCACAGGTTGTTTTTTGACAATTGAGCAGGGCTCTGCTCTTGGGCAAGGATGTAGACTGGGCTCTGTGACTCATCAGTACTGTAGGCTTATCCCCCTGGCTTACCCAGTTGCCTGGCCAGACTTCCTGAAAAGCCAGGACTGGGAGTTACTTTCAGTAGTTGGGCAGAGTTGCAAAGTTGCTTCACCATGTCGGCAGGGTAGTAGAACTGGCTCCATAGCTGGTATAACCTGACTGGGGACCTAAATCAGATATAACTGACAAGCAAGCTTTCTGGCCATATGGGACCACTGGCTTGGCTCTGCAGAAGGGCAGAGCCACTAGCTGGGATCTCTGCTTAGGTACCACTACAAACAGAAATGTGGTCCTACAAGGTCTGAGTGCTAGGTGCCGCATGCCACACCTTTGCTTAAGTTTTTAGTAGTAATCCCATAGCCATGAATCATCTAACTTTTCCAGAAGCCAGGCTGCTGAATCGCATGGAGATGTAATGGGGATTATTACCCTGGCATATTTAAAAATTTGCAGGTGGCACTAATCTCTGTCATTCTCTCCTTCACCAAGAATATGATACCGCTTTTAAATTACTATTTTTACAATAGACTTCATTTTCAGGGCCCCTGCCTGGCCTTTCCTAAAATAGTCATTGCTATTTCATAGATTACGAAATGATAGGTTAAAAAATCAGTTTGGTCAACTACTATGTGTGTCCTGATTATATATTTAAGACCTTGGGATGTGACTGCTGAGTGGCTCCATAAATCGAGTGGACTCACTATTAGATGAACATTATTTTTCCTCCATACACTCTAATAGGTGTCATGCTGGTGCTTTGGGTCTATAAGTATTAACATCAGCTCAGATGCTATATCAACAGACCTCAATAGTTGGGTGTATTTTTTGTGTATGTGTCTGGTGTATGGTTACTTGAATAAATGGCCATAGGTCCTGTCAGTGAAGAACTCAGGGAATCACTACTATGTACATTTGCAAAGTTTCTTATGAGACTTGCACTCATTTCCATTATCAGGTTCTAGGTCTAAAAATTTGCTCAGATCTGGAAACTGAGCATAGGATCTTCACTTTTATTGGGGTAGATGGCCTTAGCCATCTGATCAGCTATTCTTAATTAATGTTGATGATATATATATATATAAAGTAACATTCTTGTGACTGTTCATCTGTCTTGCTTTAACAAAACCATGTCCTATTAGCTATCTCTACAGATATTCATGGGCCACCCCTTGCTGCTTACAAAAGAAATTACTTCATCTAGCTCTGAAAGTTAAATTATGCCACCTGCTTCGAGTGTTCTTAAATCGAATCATTTTATTTGCTACTTGGGAATCCAGTCCTGTGAAACATTCCTATATTATTTCAACTTACCGACAACAGCTCCACTGAGCATCTCAAGGACGCTGGTGCCCCCTCAGCAGTGTGTGCCTGGTCACCTTGTTCATTCAGTGTCTAGGAGACCTCCTGAAGACACATCCACGTGATGGATGGGCTTTCCAGTTGTAGAGAGTAGAGCCATGCCATCTTCCCTAGGACTTTGGATTTCCCTTGTCCATAGTCTACCCTAGCGAGTCTGGTATCTGTACTTCCACTTCATCTAGTGAGCACCTTGCCTAATAGTGAGCCTCTAAGAGCCACCCAGGAGCAGCACGGAATCATCGCCTTGGCCCTTTACAGGCTAGTTCAACTCTGTGGCACAGGAGAGTGCACCTGTCTCAACAATTTTTCCTTTTCAGTTTCATATTCCCCTTCCTTCATAGAAAATCCACGCCCCAACTCACTCTCCTAGCACCTGCTGGTACATGTTGGTCAGCCTGGAGTTCCACTGGAATAGAAACCCTCTCCTCACCCAGCCATCCCACCCAGGACTTGTTCATTGGGTCATGCTGAGAGGACCCTGCATATTCTTTATTCAAGCAGGAGGGGAGGCTGGGTAGGGGGTCTGTCTTCCAAAATGGGGCAGGGAACTCTTCTGCAGGCCAGTGGGTTCAGAGGTACCTGGAGTTCAGAGCCACCAAAGTCCAGTTCTTATAGTTACTATTTCTCCCTTTGTAAATGCCAGTGAACTGTACCAGCTGGAATACTTCTTCCCCTCTATCTCATCCAGTTTCCTACAGGTAAAAGTTTTGTCAATGGCACTGTTATAGCCCCCAGAAACTATCAACATTCTGCCTGCATCCTCTGGCAGGACAGTGATCCAACTCACAAATCCCATCCTTAGGGCCTGCTTGCTAGGACTATTATGTTAAGTTGTGTTTCCTAGAAGCAGAGCCTGAGATGAAGTCTCTTAAGTAAATGATTTACTGTGAGAATTCTCTGAGGTGGACAGGTGGTGAGGAAAACAAGATTTTCTGGTGGGAAAGCTAAGAAAGGCTGTGGTCACAGCTGGGACTAGCTCCAGCCTGATCCCAGTGGGGAGCATCAATCATGCCACTTATTGATTCCACTTTGAAGCTAGACCCAAGGCCAAGGAGGTATAACTGTTATCATCGTAATTAACTAGTTTGTTAATATTAATAACAGGAAGAGGGCAAAGGTGAGGCCAGACATTATAAGCATGGTCATCTGGGCAGTGTCACCAGGAAGCTACAACCCCATGCTCCCCAGGAAATCTCCAGTCCATTCCCTGCAGATGACTGTGTGCTTGCCTGTTCTCTCTCCATAGCCATGTGCCCTTAAGGAGCCACATGGCTCATGGCTGTGTGGACCCCACATGCAAAGGACTGCGGCTGAGAACACAGCTAAGTTGGCCAGATGCTTTAATATGAAACAGAAATCCTGGGCAGTGGCCTTAATTCTGGCCCTGCTGAAGATAAGATTGGACTTCTTCCATGGTGAGACAGATAGAGATGGGACCTTGGAGGGGAACCCCCTTAATTTTACATCATTAATAAAGCTTTCCAAAAAACCCCATCCTGCCATGAGGGCCTCAGGAAATTGTCTTCCTCGTGGCACCCCAAGAACTCCACTTCCACTGATAACAACCTCCATGCCAAGAATGCTCCATTGATGGGGTTCAGTGCAATACTTTGGGGAGAGACTGATTGGCAGGCAACCCTCACAGCACTGAGGGGATGAGAAGTCTGCCCCCAAAGGGGATTTTCCAGGGTCCCAACAGCATCCACTATGCCAGCAAATTGTTCTCATTTGTTTCCTGAATAGCAAACACTTCTTTGAAATTCTTCTCAAATTCCGCCTCCAGTCTAAGTCCCATTAGGCCAAAGTCATTGTACTGGGAAAAAAAAGATAAATAACAAAAGTAATGCCACTCATGATCAGTGTTTAGAAACATTGCATTCAAGAATAACTGCCTTAAACTCCTAAGTTACATTAACCAGGTTAAGATAAAAAACTCATGTAGCTAAGAGTAACTTCTGTATCCTAAGTGCACAATCAATTCTTGTTAACTAGACAGAAATAGGAAATCATGATCACATGTGGGGACTCTCACTTATTGGTTTGGATTGTTTATTTTAGTGACAGAAGAGTAATACAAATTCTTAGTGACAATCAGATATTACAGACGTCTAAATACAATCAGTGATCTTCCTTTCACATTGTCACTTCTCTTCCCCTCTGGTGACCCCTATTAACTATCTGGTCCATTCACATGGAAAGGACTCTGGAGTTTGAGATTTCTGAGAGGTCTGATTGAGTATATTTGGGGAGAGATAAGTAGAACAACATGACTTTAAGATGCAATCCCTTTCTCCTTCGGTCTGGAGCAGGGAGGAAGACTGAAGAGACTGTTCTTAATGGACACCTGTCACCTTTTCCGAGGGGAATGAGCTCTCAGGGGCCTGGAGTCTGGTTGTGGGGACACCTCCTGACTCACTGTTATTCTCCCTGATGAGCTTAAATCCTCAACTTAAAAACCTACTCACTTCCTGAACCTTTGCTTGTACAGGCTCATCATAAAAGGTGAGGGAAACTAAGATTTCCCAGCGCCAGGAAATGAGGGCAGAGTGACTCGATGGAAAGAAAAGGAAATGGGAGCAGGGAGAGCCACTTGCCTTGTAAGATGCCTTGTGGTTCTCAAAGATGAGGCGCATGTCCCGCACAAACCCCTCCACTTGGGGGTAACTGTGATCATTTAGTCTCTTCTTGATCTTGTCCAACCACATGGGTTCCTTCAGGTGCTGAGAAGTCTCTTTGATCTGGTGAGGGAAAATATCACTGAGAGCATTACTGACACAGTGCGATGTCTGCGGGTTCCCATAAAATCCAGCAGAAATATACGGTAAAGATAACAGCAGCTCATTCTCTCCTTCCTGTGGGCTTCAGATCCCAGATCCCACTAGAGCCCGTGTCAAGGTCAGGTAACATCGTGATGGCCGGGAATCATGGTTTGTTATTGTTACTCACGTAATAATAATATGGAATCTTCGCAAAAAATGAGCTCTCCGAATGGCAGTAGAGCTCCAGGAGGAGGAACTCACACTTCTGCAAGAGAAGGAAGATGTGAATGAACAGCAGCTTGGAGAGGACCAGCCCATAGGCATGTGTGAGTATGATCACACCAGCCTTCTGGAGGTTTCCCCAAACAGGTATGGCTAGAGAAAAGAGTCATGTAATGGCTGAATCATTTTTTATTTTTATTTTTGCAAACAAGTTCTGGTGAGAGGCATGGTCAGAAGAGCAGGTATCCTTAGGCACCTTACCCCTCACCCACTGACTGTTGACTTCTCACATATAAGCAGAAAGGAGAGACCTTGGGGTTTGAATTTGACTCACCAGCTGCTCCTCGGGCCCCATCTGCCTCGCCAGGACCTCAGATTCCCTGAGACACTGCTGACTTCTTGAGGACGCCTTCATCCTGCAGAAGGTGCAACTCCACGGGCTCCTGAGAGGTCGGGCACGAGTGAGCAAGGCAAAGCCCCAGAAACAGCCACTGTTCCTATGGCTGCCACTGTCCTGCTTTCAGGAACGGCCAATGGGCACAGCCAAGGGATGAGGGGGACACTCCTCAGAGACTCCAAGACCCCCAGGTGGGGTCTGAGCCAATGACCTTCCTCCCATCAAGGGTAGCAGCAGGGGGTGAGTGGGTGGAGGGTGGTGTCAGGGTGAGTAGTAGGCTCTCCTTTCTCTGTCTGAGCAGCTGTGAGCACAAGGAGCCCTGCCCACCACGCCCGAGTGTTGGAGACTGGGCCTTAACCCCTGGGGACCTCAGGCCTTCATTGGCCAGCTGGAAGGGTGGTGAAATGAGAGAACCTGTCCATGTTTCCTGTCTTTTCTAAACAGGCACAGAAAACAAACAACTGGTATTTCCACTTCCATAAACAATAGTTTGTGCTGGGAAAGTTCTGGAAAGGACAGTAGTAGTATGTAGGCAAAGGACCCAGCCACTGGCCTCAGCCTCCCAGAGGAGAGAGGTGAATATTACCCTCTACCTGACACATCTTTAAACAGCTCCCGGGACCATACTGTTGGACCCTGTACCTCTGACCCCGCTCTTTCCCCACCAGGACACAAGGAGGAACTCTGATGGGGGGTTTGCATGGCGGGAGGAAGGCCCCTAAAAGGAGAGGGGGTTGCTCTCACAAACCTCTTAGGTTCCACAAGTGGGAGGTGACAGTACCCATGAAAGGATCTCGAACAAGTATCGCAGCAGAAGAGCTTTCCTCCATCGCGGCAGATCTCACACACGTCTGAATTTCCCAGCTAGAAGGTAAAACAATGTTCATATCCCCAGTGAGAGCCTGAAGGCCAATGCTGTGGGAATCTAGAAGTCACTGCCTTTGTGTGAATCTGCAGGGACACTTATGTGCTTCTTCCTGAGCTGTGAAGGGACCGCATGGAGTGGAGGTTTCAGAAGAATTGTGACTACAGTGAAGTTCAGGAGGAAGGATCTATGTGCCAGACCAGAAAAGTTTTTTCTATAAAACCAGAGATTCTAACAAAGAAACACAGGCAACAAAACAAGAGGATGATTTCATGGGAATCTGAACAATTTCATTCCCACGCAGATAAAACAAGCTCCTGAAATGGTGTTAAGTCCATTTGCCTACACCACGATGATGTCATATATTGGGTGAACAAAGCTGCTGTCCTCTCAGACTTGCTCCTTACTCCTAATCTGCAGGCTAGCCCTGCCCACTTCCACTTCGCAGGCCTTCTCTAAGGACCCCGGTGGTGTAGAGCCCTGCCTCCCATACTAACGGGGACACAGGCAGGTGTCCACCAAACAAATGGAAAGGATGCTTTCACACTGAGACACTCAACTCCAGAACCGTCTATCTGGCGTGGGTGATGTGTCTGCTGTTCTCTGCTCGTCACACACAGCAACATGTCCCAACTGAGTGTGAGCACGCTTCAGGGAAAGGTGGCAACAGCATAGGTAATGTATCGAGGGAAAAGGCCTGGATTATTCTGGGGTTACAGGTTGGAGTTAGTACTTACATATGGATCAACTAAGGTATTGTCATGAGACTTTGAGATTCTCCGCTGAAAAGAGAGAAAGATTGAGTGACAATGCTGAATGTGACGTTTGCATCCATCACTTATTTAAACAGCCATCTCTTGAGGGACTCAATTCACAGTCTACCCATTATTTCACACATATATTTATGGATCTATATATCTACAAGGAGAGTGAAAAGTGCCAAAGTATCACTGTTTGGCCCTATCTAGTTACATTCCCTGTTTCTCAGACTCAAGGGGGGCCTCCGTGAAGTTATGCAGGGAGCCTGGCCCTGACTTCCACAGGTGAAATTGGGGGATCTCTGCTGGTTCTCCTACTTAGAGGAGCCCTCAGGCATTCTTCTCCATATTAATAAGTGTCATCCCACCAGAGTAGCTGCAATGAAAGTATCAAGCTGAGGACTCATCACCAACAGCCTCCAGCAACCTTAAGAGTCCAGATTCATGGAATCCATGCAAGTATCTCAGAGGAGAATTCCACCACCCTCTGAACCTCTTCTAGGGTGCAGCTTCAAAGGTAAAATGTGTTCAAGGACCCCAGCATTGCAGCTCTTCTTCCAGAAGGTCACCCTTCTCCATTCAAATCCCAAGATGTCAGCTGGGTGACCTTTCAGAGGTAACCAACTACCACCCATGAGACTTGCATTGCTTGTGCATATTCAGTAGAATGGCTTGATGTCCTTCCCTTCTGTATTCAGGCAGCCTCAGCTTTTACCTCCAGCCCAGGGCAGAGAGGTCATAGACAAGTGTGGTCCACTGGACAATCACCTGAGAGGTGGCCATGTAATTGTTCACCTCTTTGTGAGATTTCCCCAGCCCTACCCATTAGTTATTTTTCCATATTAGACAATGAAGCTGAAACAATCCTTGAGGTCAAGGGTTTGTTTGAATTTTCTTTAATGGACATTGGGCATTTTGTATGCACTTGACAATTTTCTGTTGTACAAGTGAATAAATGAATATTATTTCACGTAGGAAAAGAGATTCCTTGCCATCTCCTAAACAAACATTTGCATACAGCAAATGACTGTTCTTGAGGGTACCAATATTATTTCACAAAATATTGTCACCAAAAGATATTAGTAGCCCTCTTCAGGAGGCAGGAAGCTGTCATGTGGTGCTAAGAAAGACACTGAAGTTTCCAGAAGCCAATGGGCTCCATCAGGCAAGAGAGGCTGAGAGACAGAGGCAGTTATGGGCCCTGAGACCTGCCATTTGGGGAGCTTCTGTTCTTGATCAAGGAGACACAAAATATAGAGGCAACTGCAGCTGGTTGCTGAACAGTGTTTGGCTCATAAATGAGGGAGTTGTGTTAGGAAGTTGCCAGCTCCCTTGGGTACCCTGAGTAATTCTTGACACATGGGGAATGGTACAGATGCTGGTCTTCAACATACTCACTAAATAAGTCTAATAATAGTTTCTAATTAGGAAATTCAGTGAATAAAATATCCCAAGGACTGACAGTTTAAACCATTCAGATCATCAGATGATGTAAAGGCCTGGACCTCACATCCTCAGTGAAAGATGAAGTCTCATTGGCCATCTATGTGTGACCTATCTTAGTATTCTTAGAATGTCTTGTATGGCCATTTCCACCTGAAGTATATTAGAATGGTATTTCTTTCCTCCCCACTCTACCTCGAGTTCTCATATTCATACTCAGTCTTGGAAAAGCCATCACTCTGTCCTGAATCTATACTGCACATTATTTATTTGTTTGTTGCCTCCATAGCCATCTCCCACGGAGGGAGAGATCACTTTCACAGAAGAAATGAGGTCTCCTGACCTCTTCTGTTGGAGCCAAAGGGGCAGCATCAAAGTAAAGAATTGTCCAGGTCAGGCTCTTCTGTATACATGGATCCCCAAAAGCTTCCTCCCCCAAAGCACTATCCTCATGAAGAGCAAATAATTTCCCCCTGAAAGAGAATTCTGTATGTCTCTGTGCACATTTGATTGGAAGGTGGGAGAGGATGCAAAGGATCAGAAGGAACATGCTTTTAGTTGCCAACCTCATGAAATGGTGTAAGGTTTCATATACGTCCCAAGATAGACTGTCTACTAGAGTGGGGCCATCTGGATGATGGTTAGCAAACTTGCTCCATCAGATTTCAACACAGTTAGAAAATAGTAACTGACTTAAAAATAAAAAATCTAGGTTTGAGTTGAAGATGACCCTGTGACTTTATTATGAAATGCTTTTATATATTCCATAATCATCATTGCTTTTACAACTTTGACACCCTTACAACATCTGCACCAAGAGCTAAAACTTGTCTATAAGACCTATTCTGATGGCTCCTTATCATCTCCATCTCAAATGGTTTGCTATTCAAAGAAGACCTTGCACACAACATAATGTTCAAAGTAGCAACTCTGAAGGCACATGCAAAAAAAAAAAAAAGGGTACTTAATTATAATTATCCAATGGAGAAACCATAAAATAACATACTGCATATGTAAAATCAGTTATGTGATGAGAATCTGCAGGAAGTTATATAATCATTACCTTTATTCTGCTTCTTGGAGGATTGTTTAGAAATCCTTTCTGAAAAATAAAAATATCCAGGTATATGGTTAGCCGGTGTTTTGGGTTTCCAACCTCTTCCCAAATATTTCTACCTTGATGTCCTGCTGTCAGTTCAAACCAAAGTGTCTAAGTGAGACACTGTCTCCCTCTTCTCACTGGTTTTTCTTCTAAAATTCATCAATGGTACCCAGAAAATCACCTTTAGAACCTATTCCCTGCTCTTTTGCTTTTTTCATGTGTTAAGAGGTTTTCCTTCACAATCTTTTTGACATCTCTCACCTCTTTTCTATTCCCACAAGTGCCACTCAAGCTACGTCCTCACACCGGGGCTATTCAACCAACACACACGTATTCCACACCTACAGGGTGGAAACACTCTGGGCAATGTTGGGCACACAAAGCTGTGCAAAGCCTAGAGAGGTCTAGAGAGAACAAAGGGTTGCATGGGAGGCAAATATAAAACAGTGTGAGAAGGGCCTTAATAGTGGGCCAGGGGGCCCAGGGAAGGGATGACAAGGCAGGTCAGTCAGGGAATATTCAGAGAGGGGTGACATTGGAGCTGAGCATTGTAGGCTATCGGCTTCTTGGGCTGAAAGACGGTGAGGTCATTCCCGGGCCCCATGTTCTCTGACTTATTGTTTTAAATATGTCATTTCACACCTCAGGAGACCTTCCTGGCTCTGCATTGACTATATTATGAGTTTAAACTCCTTAGCCTGGCATTGAATCCCTCCACAAACAACCCCAACTGATGGATTATGCCATATCACACACAATCCGTATACNTGACCCACGGAGTTTCTGGTTCTGGTTTCACCCCATTCTTTCTCTGCAGTGCCTTCTGCCCGCTTGTTTGGCTGTAGACTGTCTCCTTTCTTTCAAGGCCTAAAGTTGTGTGCAAGCACCTGAGTCAGAATGACCCTTCCCTCCTCCAGGCTCCTGCATCTACCCTGACAGAGCCCCTCTGACAACATCAATGTGCTNGCAGGCACCTGAGTCAGAATGACCGTTCCCTCCTCCAGGCTCCTGCATCTACCCCGACAGAGCCCCTCTGACAACATCAATGTGCTGCCTTGTGCTGAGTATGAGGGTTGGGCACCTCTCCCCGGGACAAAGTTAAAGTCAGGGGCCTGGGGGCTCTAGCCACAACTCAGGGTATATTTTGTGAACAAAAAGTGACCTATCTTTCGGTGCAACCGGGAAAATGACACCCAAGCTCCGGTCACTGGAGTACCTCAATCAGCCATTTCAGGGTTTTCCCACCGCAGGATAGGCTCATCTTCCAGTTCTTCCATCCTGCACGGCCTCCCATGACTTCAAATTCCCTGGGGGTGAGCCAGTATCCATCCTCACTCTGTATGCACTTCCTGATGCCTTCTGTAAGACCAAGGTAAGTTGATCCTGCGCATTCTGTCCTCAGAGCTCAGACACTAGCCTCCTCCCACACTGGATTTGGAATCACCCAATTTGGGCTCAAGATCACTAGCAGGAGGGTCTGGCCTCCCCTTTCATACTTCAGAATCCCCAAACCCTGCCTGTAAGTGTCCTCCAAGGAGATTTCCTGCTTTGTGCACACATTTCTTTGACTTTTGTACAACAAAAGAAGTGATCATTACCATCAAAATCAACATTATGAAAGTATTCCAAAATCACCTGTAAGGAATCCTCTCATTCTGAACAATGACAAGATTTCAATTTGCTATTGAATTCTGGGGACAGAGAACATGCCAGACTCTCAGATGGTCCTAGGGCGATGTGGAGGAAGAACCCCTAGTTGGACTGAGATCTCAGGTTGGGACCCTGCAGCTCAGAATGGCACCACAGAAACATCTGTGCCCTTTATTACAACATGTTTCATCCAGTTCAATGGCATTATTAAGCAGTGATTTTAAAAAAATTCCTGAATACATTGACAGCTGATAATAAAAATAATTGTAAAATGTATCCAGTGGAAAATTTAAGTTATATATAAAAGACAATCATATGCTAATTATTACTCATGAGAGAAATGAAAATCAAAACCACAATGAGATATCACTTCACACTCAGTAGTAGGACCATAATTTAAAACATCAGACAATTACAAGTGTTGACAAGGAGAGAGAGAAATTGGAGGCTTCATACCTTGCTGGTGGGACTATAAAATAGTGCAACCACTGTGGAAAATATTTTGGTGTTTTCTCAATATGTTAAACATAAAATTACCATACGAAGCAGCAATTTTTCTCCTGGGAATATACCCAAAAGAATTAAAAACATGTGTTCACATAAAAACTTGCACACAAATGTGCAAAACGGCAATATTCATAATCCCAAAGAATGGAAATAACCCAAACTGGTAAAGGGATAAACAAAATATGGCATAGTCATACCATGGAATGTTATATTATTTGACAATAAAAAGGAATGAAGCACTAATACATGCTATTTACATGAATGACCCCTGAAAACATCATGCTAAGTGAAAGAAACAGTCACAAAAGGGTACATATTATATGATTCCATTTATATGAAATACCTAGAATAGGCCAATTTACAGAGCAGAAAATAGATTAGTGGTTGCTTAGGGCTGAGGATGGGGTGAGGTGGGAACAGGCATTGACTACTGAGAGACATGGGGTTTCCTTTAGTGGGGGACAAAAAAGTGTTCTAAAATTAGATTGTAAGTTCACAATCCTGTGAACATACAAACATAACTCAACAATGAATCATACACTCTAAGTAGTGAATTGTATGGTTTGTGAATTATATTAGGAAACCTGTTTAAATATTATGCATCAATTATGTAAATTAATTCCTTATAGCTATACTATGAGGCAGATCATCTCTTTTTCGGATGAGAAATTTCAGTGTCAAGAAAGGTCCCCTTCTCTACTCAGATGAATCAGTCATTCGTGGCATAGCTGAGGCTGGGACTCAGGTTTTCTGATTCTAAATTCTGTGATCTCACTACATCAAACACCCTGCAATTGTAATATGACCCAGAAGGGAGAGAGGATATGAAGGTACAGGCTGAAGGCCTCTTCCCTTTTATTTCGGATTCACTTTTCTTTGGTTCTTTGGGCATTTCCATGGTCACTGCCATGTAAGTGTGAGCATCTAATATATACAGCTTCTCAAATTGTGAAAATACCATCTTCAGGATCCCCTCCTCCTTCTCTCGAGCCACAGTGGGGCCTTGAAAGATGGGTAATTTACATGGTTAATTCATGACTTCTTGTCATTCCTCCACATAAGAACTGCAAATTAGACCTTGAAACTCACCTTGCTTCAATTTCTTCTTATATAACATCCCTTTCATTTTACTACAGGTAACAGGAAGTATATCAGAGCGAAAATCCACACTTTCACCTCTGTACCTTCTTGACCCTGAAATAAAAGGTTTCTTTATTCTGTATCACTTCACATGTACCCCTCTTCCCATGTTGAGTTTGTTCCTATAAAGACATAGGAGTACTTAGGAAACTTTATTCCACTACAAAATTAAGTGAAGACATTTAGAGATAGAAAAAAATAGAAATTCTGTGCATTAAGAAAAACCCTGGGGTGAGCTTACAGGTGAGAAGTGCATTATGCACATTGCCTTGAATGGAGTTATTTGCACACTTGTGCAGAAAGTGGTGTAAAAGTGAAGTAAATGTGACCAAGGGCTTTGTCCACCTTGGTTTGAACAAAGATATTATCAGCTAAGAAACGACCAGAAGAAGGCTAATCAATAGAAATGGGTAGAATTGTCTTATGAAACCTTAGTTTCAAATAGTAAGCAAGGATTGACTTGATAAATGTTGCAGCAGAGAATACTCCTCTATTTGTAAGTTAATTGGCTGTGAATGTGCATCTCAATGTTTGCTGTCCTTCAAATGTGTTTTATTTTTTAGGGCAGGAAGACAATTCATTTCCTTCTCTCTGTGTTCAGTGCCCACCATCTGGTGGTGCTGGGTGGAGTTATGTAGACTTCAAGAAGAAATACATCCTGGACTACCCAATGCCCAGAGCAGTAAATGCTAAGCACATTAGGAGCATATTAGATCAGCAAAGTAAAAGGGACATTTCCTTCAATCAAACCCAAAATGGACCCTACCAGTTGGTAAAATCACCCCACTTTCTGGTCTTTAGGCTAAACAGTTACTGAGAGGATTTTAGCTCTTCAAGATCAAAGTGGCCCCCGGGGGACAAACATTAATAATTATACTTTATCACAAGATCAAACGAGTTATAGGCTGGCCAACTGTCACCTTATTATTGTGTAATCAAGATAATAGCAACTCAAACAAGATGTCTAGGGAGATTGATAAACTTGTGTAAGAAAGTCAAAGACTTGCATATTACTAGCCATGGGCCAAGAATTGTTAAAACGGAGAAGATGTGGTTTTGGAAGAGGCAGATTAATTATTTTGCTCCCTCTCACTTCCTTCCTCTGGAAGGTGGGGTCACTAGGCAATAGAAGACCATCTATTGCCACCCAAGCATGGCTCTCTGAGAGGCTCTCCTCACCTCTTTTCACCCAAGATGCCAAAGGATGAGGGACTCTGGAAGCCAGGCTGTCTCTGCCTCTCCCTCATTCCTCCCTCCTCTCTGGAAAGGCCATGCTCACGGCCCAATGAGAAGGGGTCCAGGCTTCTTATTCTTGCCTACCCCATATTCCAGTGAAGCTTGGCACTAAGCTCTAATTACAGCCTTGAAGGATCCAGCAAATACAGACTTCTTTCTGTGTCTCTCTGGTTACATCTTTCCAGAGACTAGTGGATATGCTGGATTTAGCTTTCATCACACTTGTTAGGTCTAATATTTTTAGGGGAAAAAAGGAAATACATTAGGAGTCTCAACAGTTGGGAGTAATTCACCAAGTGCCAAAAGGGGTCAGAACTATGGGGTACTCAGGGTCCAAGGTTTTCAGTGGCAAACTGGGAAAGTCTAGGGCAAACCAGGTTGGGTTGGTCACCCCACATCCTAAAGGCAATGCACCAGGCCACCTATTCAGCTACCGTACAGAGTATTGGTGGAACTGGTTATGTCAGCTTTAGGTCTTCAGTCACATCCAGGCAGTAGAAGAAAGGCTACATTTCTTTTGAAAGAAGTCAAGCTGTGCTGTTTGACCCTGCCCTACCCTCATCGTAGAGCTGATAAGAGCATCTCACAGAGGACAGAGCTAGTGACTGTGCACTGTCCATATCCAGTGTCATCTCACAGCTGTGCCCATCAGGTTAGACACTTCCACACTCTTCTCTCTCTTCATCCTTCCATCTCCCCATCCTGGATGGACCCAAACCAACAGCTCTTGAGTGGGAATAGAGCCGAGAAAGTGAGAGAAGTGCTAGACTTTTCCATCTCTCCACTGCAGGTGTCCCAGTCCAAAGCTTGCCCAGGGTGAAGAAGGGAAGGTGCTTTGAATTGAAGAAAATATTGAAGTTTTAATTATAGACCAGGAAGGACTCTCAACTACTGAACAAGAGAACAGAAAAGCTACCAGGCCCACCCAAGATTGGGAAAACTCATCTAGAGGGTAGATTTGAAAGGTCAGTGAGAGAATGAACCTTCTTTCTGCTTACAGTTACCAAGTCCAGCCATTTTAATAAATCAGTGATGTAAGGTAAAGGCATTTCCATGAAAAGCAGATAATGCTCAGGGAAAAGATTATAGGTTTGGGCAGATAGGAGCTATGATATAAATGCAAACAATTGACAACCACAGCTCCAAACAGGATGGCTGTCTAGATTTCACAGCTCTCAAATTGACTGATAAGCTTGACTAGTGAAAAAGGAGGCTATTATCCTCAAAACCTTAGCAGAATTTGTAATGACCTATACATAGTACAAAGTGGGAGTGGCACAAAGTTTATCTTTTGCCAAAGTCTTGGCAGGATCCTGCAGATTTATTTTCACTGTCTTACTACTTAAGACCAACTGGCCAACAGCTTTGCTGTTGTTTAGAAACAGGCAGGGAAAATCAAGTTGGACAAAACTGCAACTGACGTGTGAGACCACCTTCACTCTACACTCAGACAAGAAAGCAAGTTAACCATAAGGGATCTCAAGCAGGTGTCCAGAATTCTCACTTTTAGGAAGGACAACTTTTAAACTACATACAAAATTTTACTGTATTTTAATAAGAAATAGTTCAAAATTTATCTATATACACATACACCTAAATGAAAATGTTATGATTATATCCCAATATTTGGTGTTTTGAAGATAACCATTCTTCAAGTGGATGCAACCACTTTCTTTTTCCCCAAAAGAAAGTGTACAAATTCACTAACAGGGCAGCCATGTAAATTGGCAAAAACATAAAATATGCAGATTGGTGAAAATTGGGAATGTTTAATTGGACTCTGAAATCTTATTATATAGATCTACTGATTCAGAACTTGCAACAATATAGAAAATGGGGTCTCATCCTCATTGTTTCAGAGAAAAGAGTTCCTTAAATAACTACTAAAATAAACAAAATGTCAGGAGTCTGATTAGAAGATATATATACGGCCACAATTAACTTGTTCAAAAATATCCTCCTAGGCTTTTCTCTTTGCATATGTTACTATTTAAATAATACTTTTTTTAAAAATAAAAGTTGAATGTGTTACTATTTTTAATATGCACTCATACATTTATAAAACACAATAAGAATATAAACATCATCAATGACCAAATATAGCCACTGCATATATTTTTATGGATGAGCTGCCTTTGATTTTTCTACATATCTATATCTATGTTTCTCTATATAGAGAGATTGATGACTACGTATAAATAAGCATTTATACATATATAAAACATATTTGTACAAATATGTTTATGTGTATATATTTTTACCACATGTACACACATATAAACACATACAGTCTGCTTTCTTCATTTAGCCTTCTTTGGAATATCTTTCTTAATTGACAAAAATTTCTTGATGCAGTAAAGCCACATAGTGAGGATGGCAGTGTCTCCCTGTTAGCCCCGGATCATTTAGCTCTGGAGGGTTACATGTATAAGAAATAAATCATTTTGTTGAAGCCACTGCATTTCAGTCCTCTTTGTTACAGCATCTTAGCCTATATCCTACCTGACATAGTAGCTGGGAAACTATCACGGCCCTTAGGAGACTGAGGCTGCAAGGATACAATAAGCAGTGCCTTAGTAAACTCAAAAGGTGTGACTACTGTACTTCACTTTGCCCACTTACTTTTTCGATATATTTTTCTCTGCCATGTCCTTTTATTTCTTCTTGTCCAAGAGTACCCTTTATTTTTTCCTTCAAAAAGAAGAGAATAAAGCTAATTACTTAGAGCTATAAATATAATTCTCAAAGCCTCGTAGGTCAGTATTTTTCCAGACTTTGATCCACAAGAATGAAGCAACATTCTTAACTACCAGTGTAGCAGTGTGAGGTTGATTATAGAATTATATTTTACTGTGTGTGGACTTGGAAGACTGTAGGAAATGACCTTTCTTTGAAAATTAAAAATAAATCACATGTAAGCATGGGTTTATTTCCGAAATCTCAATGCGGTTCCACTGATCTATGTGTCTGTTTTTGTCCTAGTACCACTCTGTTTTGATTACCATAGCTTTGTAGTGTAGTTTGAAATCAGGGAGCATTATATCTCCAACTTTGCTTTCTTCTTTCTCAAGATTGCTTTGACTATTCGGGGCCTTTGGTGGTTTCATATAAATTTTAGGATTATTTCTTCTAGTTCTATGAAATATGCCATTGGCATTTTGATAGGGATAGCACTGAATCTGTAAATTGATTGGGTAGAAATAAACCCACACTTATATGGTCAATTAATCTATGACAAAGGAGGCAAGAATATACAGTGGGGGGGAAAGACAGTTGCCTCAAAAAATGATGTTGGGAAAACTGAACAGATACATGCAAAGGCAATTCTCTGTGGCATCTCCACACACATCGAAACCAAGTGAAACCTAATGCACTCGTACTTCTTTTCCTCCTGGGTCTCCTCAAAGTAGAGCTGTTTCCAAGATCCACGGTACCTGGGGAAAGGAGGTTGTGAGGAAACATTAATAGCGAAAAGTTACCAATCCTATGATGATTCATACTACAGAAGGCTTGAGCCTATAAAGTTGTTTGGGTTATCATTTTTCTCTTCCTTCTAAAGGAACTAAATATCTCCTGAATTAAGAAGGAGGAGTTCAGGATGGGCCCTGGGTCTTCCTTTTTTTTTACTCAATGTGACTTTAAAAAAACCTCTTCAATATCTACGAACTTCCATTCACTCACAGATAGGAACAGGTGTCCTATCCTGTCTGGGTCTTAAGATCTTTGTGAGGATTAAATAACATCTTACGTTCGAGAGTTTGTAGGAAAATATGATATAAATTAGTGGCATGCAGCGGACATCCATCGAAGATATGCGCTGGGTTAAGAGAAGTTGATCTGAAGTCTTTTCTCCTGACAATTAAGTGGCAGGATCAGCTGCCTTTGAGGTCTTTCTAAGGTTGTGTATAGCAGAAGTACACCTTGTTTTCTTGGGTTTTATAGAACAGTGGATGTGACAACAATGGAAATAACCACATAAATTCAAGGTGCTATGACTAGGATACCACTGTATCAAACTAGATATTGCCACTTGAAGAGTGTATTTCTACTACATCATCCATATGTAATCAATAGCCCCATCCCTTTAAACATGACATTATAATGGTCTCTTGCTTCCCTGCTGTTCCCAGTGAGGTTGGGTTGAGAAAATGCAGAGAACAGGCTAGTGGCGTGGACTGGACTGCCTGGTGTCCTGGTAACTAGGGCTTCACCCTCACACCATGACCCTTGTGCAGCGCCTTACCGCGGCTGCTTTCAGTCCTTGCTCCTGGCAGCTCTGTTGGGAGACACATAACACAGGAACAGTTTTCATTTCCAAGTGCTGGTAGTTCTGATCCTGGCCTCAAATCACAATTGGTGAAGCACATCACGCAGGAACACTCCTCATTTCCGTGTGTTGGCAGCTCTGTCCAGGGACAAAAATCATAGTTTATGAAGACTCTTATATGCCCCAGTGATCCTATTTTTGTCACCCTTGTGAATTTCTGTTTTGCTACTTCTTCCTCTGAAATGTATTATTAATCCTAACTCTTCCTTTAAGTCTCTGTTTTTTTCTTCTCTTGTCTTTTTATCTTTATCAGAACTCTGTTTCTCTAAGTCATGCTTACCTTGTCCATGATGGGACATTAGGCTGGAGGTGGGCTCTTCGGAGTCTCCTTCTCTACCCACTTGGGGAGCTTCTAGTTCTCCAGATACTAAAGGGAAACAAGAAAGTTTCTGTTCGGTGATGAGAGAAGGGCTCCTGGTGCTCTCTAGCGGCACACTGCTGTTCTGAGCTAAGATGAGCTGCTTCCTCGGATAAAATACACCTGCTCCAGTAATCACACCTGACTCCGACAGGCCACGCTTACCCATCTTTTGCAGCGCATTCTGCTTCCTCTGCTTTTATTTTCCTACTTGTAGCCCTAAGAGTAAAATAAAAAGATTGCATTCTTCCAGGAAAAAACTATCTGTTCTTTGAAAATTGTACAACTACCAGAACCACTTTTAAACTCCTCCCAGTCGGCCGATGACTACTTATATCGCCAGCCACATTTAAAGTCAACTTATCAGTTGCAGCCATACCCTTTAAAAATTGGTCATAATCTATTGGCTGAAGAAAACCCATTGTGTAAAAAAATGTTAGAGTATCCAAAATTATCCAAAACCAATTCCTAAAAAACAAATGAGGAGATATATAGAATTAACTGGGTATTGAAGACAATAACTTTCAAAGTTTTCTGTACTAGTCTTCCTACATTTGACTACATCAAATATGTTAGAGCCACTTTCATGGAAACCACAAATTGAGCAGAGTTTCAGGACCTCAAAATACTCCCTCAACAGCCATCTACACGGATCCCCCATATTCTCAAAATCCTTTTATTTTATATGTACATAGGAAAATAGGCCATGGTCTAGGGGTATTAGTTCAATACACGACAGACATCAAAAACCCATTGCTAGTAGCCACAGCCTATCTTGGTCGCCTCAAAGCAACTGCAGATGGCCATTAGTTTTAGCTTTTTGAGATTTTGGACTTGAATCACCTTTACATCTGATGGATTCCATGCTGTACAACTCTGTTCTTAACTGAAAGCATTCAACAGTTTTCTGCCATTCAATTATTTATGAAATATTACTACTTTCTCTTTCTATCTCCTGTACAGACAAAAAAATTCTCCATCTAGCAACTCTGGAAGCCTTACTCAATGAAGGTGAGTCCTAGGATTTTGCTTCCAGTGTGCACTTCCAGAAAAGGTATTTTGGATACTTCCATGCTAAATCCTGAATAATATTACTTGGTGATAAGTACTGTCTTTAAAATAAAAATAAAGTAAAACAAAACAAAACAAAACAAAATAAAATAGCAAGCTGGTTATCCAATGAATGTTCCATTGTAGACTCCATTGCCTTACATAAAACAAACGAACTGTCTCAAGTAGCTGACCTTGGGGCCTTCTCTAGGACATGTCAAATGCTAAAACTGAAAGCCAACATGCTTTTGGTCCTAACTTCTGAATGCTATGGAAACAAAATGGTTTTAAATGTCTTTGGGTACCTGTATAGAAAATTTATATTAAATGAATTCTTGGATTTTTTAGCACCCAGAGATCCTCAGACATGCAGACAAATGTATAAAGTAGCCTGCTTCCACGCAAGATCAGAGTCAGATTTTCCCAGATGCCAGGGTTGTCACAGTGCTTGTCACATTCTCCTCTGTACTTTCACCCTTTATCTTTATAAACTTAGCTTTCCTATTTACTGATTTAGTGTCTAAAAACTCTGACTCTCCCAAAATGTACTCTTTACCACTGATTACAAATTTCCTAGATGAATTACACTTGGATCAGCGATTTTCAACCGGGGTGTCGCAAGAATTTGTAAAACATGCAACACCTGATTATTTAGTCAGGGGCACTGACCTCTTCCCCTTAGATTGTCAGATAAAAAATGACAACAGCCAGCACAATGGCTGTCTGGTGTGAAAGAATCAAAATTATACCTATTTTTTGCCAGATAGGCAAAAAATATATTTTTTGGTGTGCTGCAGAATTTTAGTAATTATTTATGTGTGCCATGAGATGAAAAAGGTTGAAAATCACTGACTTAGATGACAGCCACCTGAACTTTATAATTAATCTCTTCCAACATATTTCTAGTGTAGTCAATTTGAAGTATCTTTGAATAAGTCATCCCAAGCCAATTCCTGGAAAAAAAATAATGGTTTTACTTGCAATTATGAAATGAATTTTAATCAAGGATAAATAGCCTTAATAAATATTAGCCTGATAGCTACTGATGAACATTCAGGACAAGGTGCTACAAACTCCTTATATAAAGACCATGACTCAACCTAATCATAAGAATCAGCTTAAACCCAACTGTAGTTCATCTCTGAGATTTCTCCACAAACTGGCAAACACATCAAACACCCTTCTTTCCAAACAAGATTGCACACACTCACCTATAGAGCAGTCATGTAAATTGATAAGAAGATAAGATACGTAGGTTGGTGAAAATTAATAAGTTTTAATTGGACTTAAAATAAGTTTAATTGGACTTATAATATGTCTACTGATTCAAAATTGTCAATCATGTAGCAAATGAGGTCTCACCCTTATTGTCTAGAAGAAAGGAGTTCTTTAAGTAACTGCTAAAATAAACAAGATTTCAGGATCTGATCAGAAGTAGTACATATACATTATTGAAAAATTAGAAAATAAAAATTGTATGAAACATCATCTGCAAACGACCACAGTTAACTTGTTCAAAAACATCCTTCTGGGCTTTTTCTTTGCATATGTTACTATTTAAATAATATTTTTATTACAATAGTTGAACATGTTTACTATTATGAATACACACACAGTTTAAAAACATAAATAAAAATATAAACATCACCTATATTCCAATGACCAAATGTAATCAGTGCATATATTTTTATAGATGAACTGCCATTGATTTTTTCTGTATATCTATTTCTGTGTTTCTCTCTGCATATATGTTTATACGTATATATTTTTTACCACATGTACACATACACATACAGTCTACTTTCTTCATTTAGCATTCTTTGGAACATCTTTCTAAATTAATAAAAATGTTTTACCCAGTAAAAAAGCCACATAGTGAGGATGGCAGTGCCTCCCTATTAGTCCCAGATCATTTAGCTCTCTGGAGGGTTACATGTATGAGAAATAAACCATTTTGTTGAAACCACTGTCTTTTCAGGCCTCTATGTTACAGCCCCATAGCCTATATCCTACCTGACACAGTAGCTGGGGAACAATCATGGCCCTCAGGAGGACCCAGGGTACAAGCAGTGCCTTAATAAACTTAATAAACTGCCTCACTTTGCCTGCTTACCTCCTTGATGTGTGTTTCTTCTCCATTTCCTTTTATATCTTGACCAGGAATGCCCTTTCTTTTTTTCTTCAAAAAAGAAGAGAATAACATTAATTATCCAGAGCTGTGAATATAATTCTCAAAGCCTCATAGTTCAGTATTGTTCGAGTACTTTTTTCAAACTTTGATATACAAAACGGGGCAAAATCCTTAACTCCAGTGCAGCAGCGTGAAGTTGGCTGTAGGGTTATATTTTATGCTGCAAGGACCTGGGAGACAATAAGAGATGGCCTTCATTTAAAACTCTTTTTAAGAGTTAGAAGCTAAACTCCCGCTGGTGCCCTAGACTAAATGACAATTGTGGTGATAGAGAATTATGTTCCCTTTTCAGGTGTAGATTCAAAAGTGCAATGAGGAAGCCTACCCCTCATTATTATATTCCTAAAGAGTGTCATGGGTAATGTACTGGTCTAGAAGGCAGGAAACAGTCTCAGCTTCGACGAGGAGTGTTTTCATGAAACAGTCTCTGAGCTCTTGCAGGTATAAAGCAGGTCCTCTCACTTGTATTTTAATCCAGTGCCTGAAGCTCCTGGAGAATTTAAAGACCCACAGCGAGTTTTTGTGTGGTTGTGTCTTTGCTTTCTCATGAACGACATGAGAACATGTGAATGGGAGAAGACCATGGGCTCTGGGTAAATAGAGGTCGTGTCTTGTTATCATCATTATAAATATCCTAACAGCCAGCCATTAGATTTTTACTGCTGAAAGTGAAGCTCAGTCCATGGAGGGAGGCCTGTGGCTCTCCTTCTTGAGATTCCCATTTTGAGGTGGGTTGACTCAGCTCTAGGACTTACAAGGCAGGAAGGGCCAGGAAGCCTTGCTCTTCCAATGGAAGTGGTATATTCAAGAATGCAGGGACGTTGCCCCAATGGCACCTAGGGTTTCTGTTCTCTTTCACAGCCTGAAGCAAACATTGGCCTCACAGGGTCCTCAATTCCGCAAGATTCCTCTGGTGGTCTGGGCCTGGTGCCCTAATGCCTGGCCAAGCTGACAGCCGGTGTCCACTGGGCTGCTGTGGCTGCTTGGCCTCAGAGCCAACTGTGCGGAACCAAAAGCAAACCTGCCCACTCCTCTGCCTGGCAGAACAAGACAACTGGGCTTCCGGACGTGCCTAGATGCTTTGTCTGCCAAGTGGAAAACTACAGGCTGACAAGTTAAGGTACCCATCTCTCGGGCCGTGACTGAGGAAATGAACTTGTGGCGGTGACAGACCAGTCTGGGCCCCTCATGGGCATGCCCAAGTATCTGGTGTCTGCTGACAGAGGCTGACACCATAATTCTGATGCAGGGTTGAGTGCCAGGTTCATGACTCCTGCTAAAGCTGACCTTTCAGCCCATGGTCAGGGAGCCACATCACAAGGGGCTTTGCTCTGCCTGCTCCTGACACACTGATCAGGTCTCAGACCCTTCTTGGGGCTATGGGTGCTGGATCAACACAGTCAGCACTTCAGCTCACAGACCAACTGACTCTGACCACAGCATTGTGACCCTGGGAACTCACAGGTGGCATCAGCCTGGCTGGCTGGACTATCTGAGTCTGAGCATGGTGTGCCCTTCATCAAAAGCTGCTCCCAGTGCACTGACTGTCTGACTCAACGCGCCTCATCTCCTCCTGTCCACACACCTCTGTAAGGCTCTTTGGTCAGTGAAGACAGCTGTTCCCAGAAAAAGATAAACTCCTTCCTGCATCATGATCAAGACAAGAGCAGTGAGGGACAAATGGTGCTGTACAGACCAATTCTAAGATGTCAGGATTCGGCTCTGACCATCCCTGGGGATGACATCTCCTTTCACCCACAACCAGCCTCTGAGAGCGTAGAGGAGTCAGATTTAATTCTGATTACATTTTATGAAAATGCCTTTTCCTGCTTGTATCTGATCCTTCTGGATAAAAGATCTGAGTGACAATTAAAGATGATTGGGAGAGAAAGATGAAGGTACAGCCACTGGAATGTACACACAGATTCTGTGGCAGAGAAGGAAGAGCAAAGACCCAGGCACCTGAGGAAGGAGCACCATACACCTTAAGACACACGAGGGAGGGAGAAGCATTAATTATATCTGTCCGCAGGGCTTTGTTCATTTCTGGAGGCTGTGGGGGATAATCCATTTAGAAAAATCTTTTCCAGTTTCCAATTTCTCGGTTCACCGTCCCCTGCCTGCACCTTCAAAGCCAGCCTCACTGCCTCTCTCTGATCACTCTTCCACAGGCACACGTCCCTCTCTGCACAGCAGGAATGGTTTTCTGATGTTAAAGACCCATGTGATTTGATTGGGGCCACTCAGATAATCCAGGATAACATCCGCATCTCAAAATCCCTAATCGCATCCTCAAACTCTCCTTCTCCATGTAAAGAAACAGATTACTGTTTCCAGGGATTAGACAGGGACAGCTCTGTTCCTGTTGGTATATAATTCTCAAGAACCTCATGGATCTCCCACGTATGTCATGGAGATTTACTTCATAGATAAGAGCTCCTCCACAGATCTTTCCTACGTAATTGTATATCTGTTTTTTTATCTCTGCTGAGATGGCTTGAGGGGATCTGTGTCACACACTTAATCTTTTCAAAGAACCTTTTATGTGACTGAATACTCTGATCTCTTGCTACTTCTGAGGCATCAGCAAAAGTTATTAAGCCACACTGTTGGTCACTTCTACAGACCACACTTTCCTGACAGTGGATCTCCTAATTTTAGCATCTTTGCAACTTGAATAGGCTGAGAATTTTTCAGATCAAGTTCTATTTTTTGTTGTTGCTGTTGAGCAGTTCTCTTGGTTTATCTCTTTCCTCTCATATTTTACTCTAAGAAGAAAAAACAAACAACTGAATCTTTATCACTTGCTTAGAAATCTCCTTAGCTAGATAGCCCAGAAAGTTTTGCTTTCACATATCTTCAGGAAAGAACTTCACTAGGCTTTCTGCCTTTATTTAATAAGAATCCTCCTTCTCCAGTTTCCAAAATCATGTTCCTGTTTCCTTCTCAGCCCTCACTAGCCACACCTTTAACCTCCCCATTTCTACTAACACCCGTTCAGCGTGATTTATGTATTCTCTAAGGCAATATAGGTTTTCTTCCCCTTGCTCTTCACCTCCTTCTGAGTCCTCACTCGTAGTCTTGGCACATTTCTACTAACAAGCGGCTCCAGGCCATGTAGATATTTTCTATCAATCTACTTAAGATTCTTCTCATTGCCCAATTTCCCTCTGCCAATTCCCAAGCCACTTCCACCTTTGTAGGAATGTGTTATAGCTGCGCAATAACCAAAATCTGTATTGCTTTTCTCCAGCTGCCATAACAAATGACCACAAATTTAGTGGCTTAGAACAATTCAAGTTTATTATCTCATAGGTATGTCAGTTAGAAGCCTGTCGAGGGTCTACATGTCTGAGAAGAGCTAAAATAAGGGTTTCGGGAGGCTCTCATTCCTTCCTGGAGGCTGCGGGGAAGCTATTTCCATGGCTCTTCCACCTTCTACGTGTAACCCATGTTCCTTGTTTCTCTCCTCTGTCTTCACAAAGATTGCATCTCTCTGTGACTATCTTCCTCTCTCCGTATCTGGGGACAGTTCTTCACTCTAAAGTTCATTGATTACATTGGTGGCACCCAAATATCCAGGATAATCTCCCTTTTCAAGGACCCTAGTTTTATTATATCTGTAAACCCCGCTCTGCCATGGGAGAAGACACACTATAGGTTCCATGATTAGGATATAAGCATGTTTGAGAAACCATCGTATTATTTATTATCACTTATTTTTTTAAATTATCACTTATTATTGTAAATGATAACATGCAACTCTGTCCCTAAAACACACATTCTCACGTCAGAACCAGGTGAAATCTAATGCACCCTTACTTCTTTTCCTCTTGGGTTTTCCCAAAGTAGAGTTGCTTCCAAGATCCACAGGATCTAGAAAATAAGAGGTCGATATGAGGAAACAAAGTAATAAGTAAAAGTTGCCAATCCGAGGGTGATTCATACTCCAGAAGGCTTGAGTTTTTAAAGACACTTGGGCTATCATTTTTTCCTTCCTTCTAAAGGAACAAAAAATCTTCTGAATTGGGAAGTAGGAGTTCAGGATGGGCCCTGGGTCTTCCTTTATTTCTCAACAGAACCTTGATAAACACTCTTAGAGACCTATGTCCTTCAATTAATTCAGCGAGAGCAACAGTTACCCTATTCTGTCTAGGTCTTAAGATTCTTTAGTGAGAATGAAATAACATGTTACGTGCAAAAGTTTATAGGGAAATGCTGCAGAAATTAGTGACATGCTGGGAGACATCCATAAAAGATGTGTGCTGGGTTAAGAGCAGTTGATCTGAAGTCTCCCGTACTGATAATTAAATGGCAGGATCAGTTGTCTTTGATGTCTTTTTAAGGTGGTAAAAAAAATGACACCATTATCTACTAGCAGAAACACACTCTCCTTGTTTTGGATTCCATCAAATTTTCAGGTGGGACGGGGATGGATATCACTGTATAAATACAAAGTCTATTACTGATATACTAATGTAGTAAACTAGATACTGTCATTTTAAGAGTGTATTTCTACTACATCATCCCTGTAAAATCAACAGGGCCCATCCTGCTAAACATCACTTTATAATGAATGGTGTCTTGCCTCCCCGCTGTTCCCAAAAGGGTCAGGTCAAGACAATGCAGAGAACAGGACAGTGCCATGGATTGGACCACCTGTCCCACTCTACCTGGGGCCTATGGTACCTGTAGATCCACGCTCATGGCATGACCTTCGGACAGCCTTACCTATTGTGTCACATGCTTGGCTACTTTCAGTCCTTGCTTCCGGACCTCCTGGCACGTCGTCTGAGAAGCACATAACACAGGAATAGTCCTCATTCTCACCTGCTGGTAGCTCTGCTCCTGGAACAAAATTGTGATTTATGAATATCTTTTATTTGCCCTAAGGCTCCTCTCTCATGTAAATTTGTTGATCCTTGTTTTCTACTTCTCCTTCCAAAATCTTCCATCGATCCACCCTATATCTGACTCATCTCCCATTTTTCCTTCTGTTTTTTTCTCTTTATCAGAACTCTGTTTCTGTTTTTATTATTTTTTAAGTCATGCTTACCTTGTCCATCATGGCACATTAGGCTGGAGGCGGGCTCTTCGGGGTCTCCTTCTCTATCCACTTGGGGAGCTTCTAGTTCTCCAGATACTAAAGGGAAACAAGAAAGTTACTGTTTGGTGATGAGAGAAGGGCTCCTGGTGCTCTCTAGCGGCACACTGCTGTTCTGAGCTAAGATGAGCTGCTTCCTCGGATAAAATACACCTGCTCCAGTAATCACACCTGACTCCGACAGGCCACGCTTTCCCATCTTTTGCAGCGCATTCTGCTTCCTCTGCTTTTATTTTTCTACTTGTAGCCCTAAGTGTAAAATGAAAAGATTGCATTCTTCCAGGAAAAAACTAACTGTTCTTTGAAAATTGTACAAGTAAATACCAGAACCACTTTTAAACTCCTCCCAGTCGGCCGACGACTACGTTTAAAGCCGGCTTACGCCGCCAGCCACATTTCAAGCCAACTCATCAGCTTCAGCCATGCGCTCTGAAAGTCAGCCAGTCAGCACCAACCACACTCCAGAGAGCCTGGGTCCGTGGCTGGGTGCTAGTCTGTTTAAAATCACTCCTGTTTCTGCACGTCCGCAGTCCCTGAACTACATGCTTGCCAGAGCTTCATATAAAATCAATAGTTTCCATTTTAAAGAAAGTGTCCAATAAGTACACTGCCTCCTCCCACTGCATGCCTTGTGAAGCAGGAACTCAATCCCTCTTTGAGCTTCAGTTATTGTGCCATAGACGAGCCCTTCGAAATGGCATTTCCACCAAGATCACCTTAAAGACTTTTGCTTAGAAAGGTCCTGTGGGAACCTTGAACCGACAGGTGTAAATCCTCAGTTTCAACAACTACTTGGGCTCTGACTAGTTACACGAGCTCTTTTTCCTGAATTTATCTCGTTATTTAATATGTGTATGCAATTAGAGGCAAAGCAGTTAGACATTTGGTTAAAGGTGTAGCATTCAGCAAGAATTCTGTTAATTTGCTTCACCTTTTAATACTTCATCTACTCTCACTCTCCTGTTTATTATAAAAAGTCTTTTCTCACGTGTGCTTGTTCGTGATTTTCCTGTGCTTCTTGACTTTTAGAAGAAAGTGATCCAAAGCAAATGGGTGGAGGGAGAGTCCCCTACACAAGCCAGCCCCAAAGACTAATTAATGGGTGTAGGTCCATTAGACAGTCGCCAATTTGTACAAAGATATTTGGTAACACTTTGTCTTGAGTCCCTCACCAAAAGTTTCATGAAAGCACTGGATATCCTGTCAAATTGTAAAGAGAATAATTTTCTTTAGCACAAAATCTGAGGTCAACTATCATCATATAATCGATCACATGTCTCTCTTTTGGTCTCTGCTTGGTGGATGAGCCCAGTAGCCCATTCACATACAGGACTCCACTCACACTTATGGCTGAATGTTGTGGCCTCTTTGCTGTTTGTCAGGAGCTTATCTTTGCCAAAGCTACCGGCTCCCACTGGCAGACCTCCGCTTCCTCTTTGCACTCTCACTGTCATTCTAACTGTTGCACATATCTTTATAAATGACAAAGCTTTACAGACGATGACTTTGGGTTTCAATGGGGAACATTTGACACATCCAAAGTATCAGTGCATTTGATAATATTTTTATAAAAAAGAGAGAAAAATGTCTAAAAGTTCCTATGTCCCAATCACTAAATGTTACTTTCAGACCATTATCCAACAAACACCTTCTTTCCTTTAAAAAAAATTATTTTATTGCTGAAAGCAAAAACCTTATATATTTAATCAGTAGGGATCTATTCCAAATGAAGCTAACAGATTAAATATCCTAAAGAAGGACTACTTAAGAATTTCTGGAAAATTCTTTTACACATGATCAATTTATAGTTAATGTGCACATTAGTACACATGCACTACGCATGGTTCAAGATCTACAGGCAATAAACAGAACAAGTAGGAAAGCCCACCCTGGACACTGAGGAAGACTTAGGCGGCTCAGGTATCTCCTGGTGGGAATGTCCCTGTCCTCACTCGCACCCTCCTGCTTTTGAGTTCCCCTGACCTAGAGGTTAACATGGCTCCTGTCATGTCACCAGAGGATGAGAAGAGTCCATCAGTCTCACTCCCTTCCCTTACATGCCATGCTCTCAATATTGTTCATCCTTTCCAGTTGGCTCTACACATTTCTGTTTGGATATGTGGAGGGGAGCAGGGTAGGAGGGGAGAAGAAAAGGGGAGATTTTCCTCCTTGCAGACAGACAAAGATTCAGTTTGTTACATGGGAAGTGAAATCACCATTACCTTCGCCATTACATAGTAGTTGACTGGACATCTCCTCTGGTTCCTCTTTAATCATTTGGGGAGTTTTGGGATCACAAGACACTGAAGAGACACAAAGAAATGAGCTGAGCCAGGCTGTCCAGGGCACCAAGGACCGCACCTGAGACCCAGCCAAACCCTCCCTGGCCTGCCTGTTTCCACCTCATTCGCTGCACTCTCCGCGCTCCGCTTTTCAGTTACCTATAGATCTGCCTCCAGACATTTGTCCTTGTGCTCCAGGAGGCTGTTTGTGCATCTCTGATTTGTGGGCTCCACTCCCCCTGACTTCTCCTATCTCTTTACTTCTGTCTCTTTTCCTCAGTGATGATCTGGGTCTCTTCTTCCCTCTGGATTCTCCCAGCTATGCTCTCCTGGGCCTCTCCCATTCCTGCACCAGGATCCGGTCCCTCTCTCTCTGGCTCTCTGGATTTCTGCCCTCCCTACCCACATGCTTTATTTGTGAAGTGGGAGTGTCTCTGCATCGAGCCTTGTTCTCCTTCCCCTGGGAGCTTACAGTCCCCCTTTGGACTCTGTGTCACCCCGTTGACCCCCACCAGCCTCACACCGCCATCACCTGCAGTGAGACACGCAGGGCTTCGGTCTCTGCTTTCCCTCCTATTTTGATCTTGGGGGAAAAACAAGTATCCCTTTTCTGTGCTTCCATTTACTTAACTCTAAGGAAGGGTGATTACAGCTTCCCTGGCTAAGTCCTAAAATTTCGTGAGGAAATCACACGTGTCAAAGTACTTAGAAAGAAAGAAGTGCTATGTAATCCAATAACCTGATGAAGAATATGTGGAAAGAAACTAATTTGGGCTTGAAAGTCATTGGGGTTTTTTTTTTGACAAGTAGATCTAAGAACCATGTTTCTTTTGAAGCCCATCCAAGTGTTATGGCAACATATTATTATTATTAAGCACTAAATAAATACTAAGTTTTTATACTTTATATAGAAAATAAAGGTGGGCAGGGTTAAAATCACAATATTGAATCTTTAATACAAATAAGTATAAAGAATGTGGAAGATGATAGCTTTCCTTGATGTTTATCTATCACAAAAAGAAGAGGGAACACACCTATTCTAACACCAAGGGTCCTGCTACTCGGCTCTGGATTCAGCCTCCTGACACCCTGCAGCCCGGGGCTGGCAACCCTCCCTCCCTTACCTGACTGACACCTTCGTGGGAAGCTCAAGTCTTCCTGGAGCTCTTCTCCATCGCAGGGCTCCCAAGAGGCATCGCTGTCTTCTGCAGAAGGAAGTGAAATCCCACAAGGTCTCAGTATACAACCAGGGGGAATCACGGCAAGGAAACTCATAGTGAAGATGTGGGAAGCTCAAGTATCCCCTAGGTGGGACTGTCCCTGTCCCAGACCACCCTGGTCTGCCCTTTGCATTCATCTGGCCCGAAGGTTGACTCCCTTCTTTCATCGTCACCAGAGGCCGAGAACCATCCATCATCTTCCTCCCTTCCGTACACCAAACCCTCTCTCTACTTCTTTTCTGGCCCCATTGCCTCTGCACATTGTTTCTGTCTCTGCCCTGCTGCCTTCTGCCAGTGTCCTCAGGTGCTTCTAGTTGTTTGGATGTGTTTCTGTTTCCCCCACTCCGGTCTCTTTCTCTCTTGAGTCCTGACACTGTTCTGTATTGACTTTCTCCACCTCACTTTTCTCCTCCTCACTCCCTTCTGGGAAAGGCATCCTTGGATAGTATAATGTAACCTGCTCAGGCAATGGGTTAAGGAGCAGAGCAGGCCAAGGCAACACCACCAAACACCAGGCAAACTTGTTCACATGCAAGAGAAAGATCAGAGCATTGCAATCACTGAGAATATTTGTGCTCTTGTTAGAGATGAGGCAGAAGAAACAGGTTGGAGCCCCGTGGTGAATGGAAGGCAAATAAACCCCAGGAACAACGATAACTGGTTTAATCCAAGGGCGACAAAGGTCACCAGGTTTTGGTGGGGAAATAATGTGATCTGATTTACATCTTGCAAATAACAATTGTGCTCCAGTGAAGACAATGGGTGGGCTGGGGGCAAGAGAAGAGGGAACATGCACGTTCCCTTTGCTGAGGAAACCAACCCTGGAGAAGGAAGGGTTTCTGTCTCACAAAAGAAAATGCTGGTTTCAACCTGGGAAGTGTCAGTTCCTGAAAGACATACAAATGGACAAGGTCTTGGGATAAATGCCATCAGTTCATAGACTGGTCACCTTGGGAGATGGGTCTGCCTCACAGACATGCACTTCGGACTCATTCAGTTACCTGAGGGTAGCTGGGGGGCCGGGGAGAAGAGCATTATTCTGAGTGTGTTATGGGCACCACCCTCTTCCTGGGGAGGCCTTCACCTGAAAACTCACGACTGAGATGCCCCCTTTTGCTGGGAGATGCTTCTGTCTAGGGACCTGTACTTGGCCTTAGAGGATTCCAACTTCTCTCCTTTCCTCCTTGTACAGCAGTTTTCACTTTTCGTAGATTTTAAAACTATTTTGACATAACTCTTTCTCTGAGTAGTTTTCTTTGTGCTTCCTTCCACGTTGTTGTTGTTGTTATTATTTTTGGTATTCTTTATCCTCTCTATGTAATTTCTCTGATTTTTATCTCTGTTTCTCATTTCTTATTGAGGCTATAACCTTTCTACTTTGTCTCTCACCCTCTCCTTTTCTCTCTCTGTTTCTCTGAGTCTTCACCTCCTGGATGCCTGTAATATTTTCCATTATTTTACATATTTTGCTCATTCTCACAGATCCTTTCTCCCAAACTGACAAAAATTCTTCCATTTCATGTGGACCACAGTGCCAGAGAGCCTCCCGTAAGCAGCCCTAGCCTACCAGTCTCACACAGGACCTTGCTAGATTGCGAGACTCTCAGTCATTCACAAAACTTATTTCTGTGTTCCTGGTACTTCCAGAAGCGGGCTGACAATGATCTCCTCCCTGATTTTCCAAAACCTGCTGATATCTGGATTTTGTGGGCATTTAAGAAAATCATCTGGGCACATCGGCCTTGGTGTCCCACCCTGCCTTTAGCATAGTTTGTCTTCCTCCATTCTCCATGCAGGGACCCCTTTCCTTCCAGGAGCCCGGCTCGCCTTTATTCTTTATCTCTCTCAGTTTGGAAAAAAACAAAGCAATCCCATCTGTATGTGTGTGTAATATGAGGAAGAAAGCGGGAGAGTGGGGAAGCAGGGAGATTTTTCCCTGCTGACGGGAAAACAAAGACGGACTGAGGAAGCTGGGCATTTACATCATAATTACCTTCGCCCTCAGCAGGCTGCAGGCTGAGCACCTCTCCTTCTTCGTTGGTTATTTCTGGAGCTTCGAAATCATAGGTCACTGCAGAGAAACGAGAAAATGATGGGCATGGAGGGCAATCAGAAATGGGCCTCAGCGTGCTTGTGCCGCCGTGATGGGAAAGCGGAGGGCCTGCCCCAGAGGCTGCTCCTGAGAGTCACACTGTCTGGTTTTGCTTGTTTGCCACCATGTGACACTTCCTTCCCCTTCTCTCTGGTTCTCAGTGCCCTTCCCACAGCTCTGCATCCACAAATTTCTGTTTCCTCCCTGTGCGTTGCTTCAATTGTCAGGTCGTTCCCCCCCGCCCCGCCTCTTCTTCTTCGGTCTAGTTTTTGGCTTTGGCTTTTTCAGGGATAACGCAGCATTTCGCCAGGAACGCTTTCTATCTGGCTGATCCTAGCTCTCTCCTAGCCCGGGTGGATGGGACATTCCTATGCTCTCTCTCTCTCCATGGTTTCCCTTCCCTCCCCATCAGCATTATTTTTTTCCTTAATTAAGGCCTTACATTGGAATCTGGGTGCACTCCAAGGGAATCTGCAGAATTCCTGACTCCCCGTTTCTCATCTGACTGTATGACCCAGCCCTGACCGCCTGCTGGCTCCCCTAAACTGTCACCCTTGTGCCACTCTTCCTTTTCTACTTTGCCCTTGAAAAGGCATCTCTGAGACAGAATGTCATTTCCACATACATTCACCCAATCAGTGAGCAGCATGGAGAGCGGAGGGGGCCGAAAAACTGCTCCAGGTGCAGAGCTAAGAGGCTCAGGTGAGAGAGAGTCATCAAAAAGTCTAAATTCCTGGAGTTTTACACAAAGTTTTGGAGTGATTGCAGGAGAGGCAAGAAAGGAGCTGAAAGAACTGGTCTTTGTCTATGCCGACGAGAAAATAAAGCTTTAATGACACAATAGGTCATATGAACCCTAATTACCTTCTCCATCATAAGGCAGTAACTGGGGCATTTCTCCCAATTCTCTTCTTTCATCCATTTGTAGATCTACGAGTTCCAAGGACACTGAAGAGAGACATGGGACCTTGATGAACAACTGAGGGCGACCTGAACTCCGCCCGGATGCGGGCACGTCCGGAGGGCTTCCCTGGGCAGTAAAGGTGCCTTGCACCAAACGAGCTTTGCCCTGCGCCCCGAGCAGGCCCCCGCCCCTCGCTCCTGCCCGCGACCCGGCGGACCCTGCGCTACACGTGGCTGCACCCGCGCCACGGGCCTGTGTGCCATCTCTGTGACTGTGGCTTCCTATCCTGGCTTCTACCTCCTCTGCATTCGTGTCTTTTTCTTCCTCCATGATGTTCTTGACCTTCTTGCTCCACTGTCCTTCTATTTATTCTTTTACCTACTTCCTCATTACCTTTCCTATACATGGGAGTTTGCTGTTCCCATGCAATCCCCAGACAGTAAGTTTAAAATGATCTCTTTCTCCCCAAACTCCAAACTGGTAGTATGGAGATTCCATACACATTTAGATAAAATTGGGCCTAATTAGGCAACTCCACTTGGTGCCCCAATCCACATTTTTATTACTTTGTACCCTTCAATTCTCCTCCCAGAAGAGCCCTTGTTAAGGGGCTTAGCCCTCCTGCCCCCCTGCCTCCACATACCCAGGGAAAGCAACCAAAGAGAAAGCAAAGAAGTGGGGATTTATGTTTGAGAGGAGGAGGCAAGTGTCCCTTGCATACAGACAGGCAAACAAATTTAGTGAGGTAGGTGGCCATTTAAGTCATGATTACCTCCCCCATCACCTGGTAGCAGTCTGGGTATCTCTTCGGAATCACCTCCACTGGTCCCTTGGAGAGCTTCGTGCTTACAGGAAACTGAAGGGAAACATGGAAATGACCAGCCCGTCCTGGGGACCCGGGGACAGGCTTAGGGGGCTCGTGCTGAATTCCGGTGGTGGGCGCTCAGGTGAGCTTCTCCTTGGGCACAAGGTACAGGTGCCCAAGGACCTCGCCTAAGGCCTCCCCCAGCCTCGCTCTGCCTCTTTGCCTTCTGTTTGCGCTCAGCCAGTTCATGTTCAGCCAGCACACACCTTCCTTCTGCGCCATGACGGATCAGTCATCTCCTTGATTTTCTGGCTTCCCCCTTGGTCCTTTACTTCTTCATTGCTCTTTGTCACTTTCCCACTGCGGCTCCCTTTTTCTTTCTAGCTCTTTCTAGATCTCTTGCATCCCACATGACAAGCCCCTTCCTACCATCTCTCTCTGCTTTCCCCTGCTCTCGCCAACGATAAATGCTTGTTGAATGAGAGTCTCCTGGCACCAGGTGCTGTTCCACTCCCCTGGTACCTGCAGACCTACTGGGCTCTCCTGAATGAACTCAGTCCAGGTGACCTTGGTCGCCCTGACCCGTTGTCAGCCCCACATGACCATAACCACACTGAGCCATCGAGGATTCTGGTCCATCCACTTGCTTAACTAATTTGAACTGGTGAAAGACCCTTAAACACCTCAGATAAAATGACACCTTTTTTGCCAAAGTTCTTAGAAAAATTGCATAACATAATGCAAAACATTTGACGAAAATTATAAGTTAGATTTGAGGGCAGTTGATCTGAAGGGCCATGTTTCTTTAGAGGGTTTTTCAAAGTTAGGCACAAAATAATAACATTATAAACAAAGAGAACAAAACTTAGGTTTTTTTCTGTAGGGATGAGTAAGGATGGGTAGGCATAAATTTAGGCCTTTAGTATTAATAGATGTAAAAGGCATCCCCTTTCTTTACCTATTTGCACTAGAATATGCATTTAGAAACATTTATGTGACTCATGAGATTTTAGGACACGCTGATCTTTGGACAGTGGACTATGTTCACAATTTACCGCATCAGGAAACACCAGTTCTGGTTTCAGCCACCTGACGTCCTGTAGCCCAGGGCCGCCAATCTCCCCGCTCTTACCTGGCTCAGGTCTCGGTGGGGAGCTCAAGGCTTCCTGGGGCTCTTCTCCATCACAGGTTACACAATAGGCCTTGCTGTCCTCTTCAGAAAGTAATGAAACCCCACTGACATCTCAATTTATGACCAAGAAGGAATCACCACAAGAAAATCATAAGAAAACCAAGAAAGTCTGAGAAGCCCGAATGCCCCATTCTGCAAAACCACCTGAGCTGAAGGTGAGCTTTGCTTCGGCCCGTTTCCCTCCTGAACGGCTGGCTCACTGCGGGAAATTCTCCTATTCCCACGCCTCATCCTCTTACCCACCTTCCTTTCCTGTGTCACACTGTAGGTGTCATCTGCCTTTGCCTTTGTTTCCTTCTGCTGGTGGCTCTTCCTCTTGGTGTGTTTCTCTCTTCTCCTCTGTTCCTACAGCTCTGTCTCCTGCTTTCTATGACACTGCCCTTTCTCTCCCACCCTTTACCCTTTATCTCTCAATTGTTCTTTCTAGCTTTCTTAAAAAACAAAAAAAAAAAAGAGCAGGGGGCCTCTCTGAGAGAGTCTGTTTTAAACAGGATTTAACCAGAGTGGAACATGAAGACTGTTCTGAAAAGGCATATGAGAAGGCTCAGAAATGAAAGGAAAATTTAACAATTAAAATGACTGGGATAAAAGGTTTGTGCTGTCTTGAATGGTGTAGGAGGCAGGCGATGAGATGGGAAATAGGCAGGTGGCTCATTGTGGGTGACCTTGGGTGCCACCGAAAGAAACATTTATTTAACCCTCCCCTATTAATAAAGTAAGTAGAAAAATAATACAATCTAATTTTTATTTTCAAAAGTCCCATGTAGCTGAAATGCAAATAGCTCATTTCGTGGGACCAAGATTAGAAAGAAGAGATGAGCAGACGGCTGTTGCTCTGAGAACCATGACCGAGATTAGGATCGGCGACTTGGGCTTGGGGATGTGACAGAAAGACAGGTGGGAGATATTCTAAAAGACAAACGACTGTTTTAAGGGGGACACAGGCCAGTATTTGAGGGCAAGAGCAGTCATGGTGACTCCTATGTTTCCAACTTCAAAAACCACGGGACAATCGTGACCCCTCACTGAGACAAGAATGCTGAGCAGGGGGTAGATCCCGCATGAGCAATGAAGGTGCTGCTTTCAGGTCTGGAATTGCCCAGTTTAAGGTTCTTGAAAAAATTCAAGTGTAAATCTCTATCCAATCCCTGGTCCTCAGGTCCACGGGTAAATGGAATCTGAGATAACCTGGGTGGAAGTTTGTCTTGGGAATCATGGGAATATTCAGGGAGAGCCTGTTGCAATCTGAGTATTTTGCAAGAGCCACTTTGATAACTAAGGACAGTTCCGTCTGAAACCTCACAGCTAACGCTGTCAACCTTGTACCCTAAGATGCCTATACGTAGCTCTTACCTCAGACCTACTGTGTGCCAACCTGTGTCTCTCCCCGTTGCCCTCTTTCACGCTCAACCTATTTTCCGCCCATTCTCCTTTCATCCTTTCTCCACATGTTGCCTTTGTACCTCTCCCTGACTTTCCCTGTTTTTTAGCATTTATTTCCTTTCCACCTTTCTCTTCCTAGATGTTTTTCTCTCCGTTTTTATGTCCGATCGTTGAAAGATTTCTTTAGCTTTTCTGTCCTAGGATGTGTCTTAAACTTCCTCCCTTTTCATCCCTGTGTCTCCAGCTTTACCTTGACCTTCTGGCCGCCAATATGGCTTTAACTTTTGTCTCTCTGTGTGATTTAATCCTCCAGGTCCCCTCTCTCATCAACTCCAAAAGTCTCCTCTTGGACTTTGACTAGAGGACCAGGGACCTCCAACTGGCCAGCTGCACAACGAGGGTTTCCCACGTGAGCCTGACCTGTCACGTTAGTTCAGAGGTGCTCCAAACTGTTCTGGGAAATTAACTGAAAATTATCCCCATCCCAAGCTGGAATGCTAGGATTGTATGTTTCCTTTAAAAACCTGGATCCATTCCTGTAATTTGTCATATATTACCTCCTGTCTACTTTTTCCAATTTCTCTTTTTATAGTTTTCATCAATAGATACTGTCAACTCAGGAGCTCAGATTCCTTTCCTCATGGTGTCTCTCACCTTCATGGGCAGGTAAGGGCATTTAGGGAAAGTGGGGCCAGCGTAGGCCTAGGGCAGGAGATACGACATCGTCTTAGCTTCCACGGGGTCAAGAAAACAATTGCTAAGTTAAAGGATAGTTACCTTGTCCATCTTGAGGCAGTAAACTGGATCCATCTTCTGACCCTCTTATGTTATTCATTTGGACAGGTGAGTGTTCCCAGCACTCTGAAGAGGGTGACAAGAAAATGACAGAGCACAGTGACCAGAGACCTCTGTGAGCTCAAACTGAACTCTAATGTTCAAGCACCAAAGACTCCACCAGAGGCCCAGCACAGCCTTGTTTCCCTTTTCCACCGACATGCACATTGCTTAATTGAAAAACAGTTGTGTAACCAACATCACAATCAAGATTTGGGGCATTTCAGGGGGTGGGGGAGGTAGAAGAGGGTATAAGGGGGATAAATGGTGATGGAAGGAGACTTGACTTGGGGTGGTGAACACAAAAGGCAGTATACAGATAATGTGTTATAGAAGTGTCCACCTGAAACCTATATAATTTTATTAACCAATGTCACCCCAATAAATTCAATTTAAAAAGTAAATAAAAGTGAAAAAAGGAAAACAGAAAGAACGCAGTAGAGAACGTGGCCTAGCAAAAAGAGCAGTCTGGTATTTGTCCTGGCTCTTGGAGGAAACTTCTAAACGCTTGGAAATTCCCCAGGGATGGAGTTTCTTTGCTATTCACAGTGAGGTCCTTGGACCACACCTAATAGTCTGCGTTAATGAGGCGACTCAGGTAGAGCCAGCCACTCTAGATGGATTTTCTGTGAGGGCTGGCCTCACTGCAAAACTAACCGCATGATGGGAGGTGGGGGCCAGAGATTCAATTCAACCACAATTCAATCAATCATACTTATATGACAAAGCCTCAGTAAAGACTCTGAACACCAAAGAGCGGGTGAGCTTCCTGAATGGATAATACCATGAAATATTGTTGGCGATGCTCTGTGAGTATGGCTACGCATCCGCGTCAGGGCAGTAATGCACCCTGAGAACAATGGAAGCTTTGACGTTGGAACCCTTTGGACGTCTCCCACACTATGCCCAGTGCATCTTCGGCTAATTTTAATGTATCTTTTCCCTGTAATAAATGTAAATGTAACTGTGAGTATAAAAAAAAAAGATTTGGAACATTTCCACCATGCCAGAAAGTTTCCTTGTGCTTTGTGTTCCACTCGGTTTCCACTGTCAGCAACCACTGTTTTGATTTCTTTAACCATTAATAAGCTCTTCTTTCTGGTACAGTGCCTGCCTGTACTGGGGCTCATACATATAGGATCACACAGTACGTACTCTTGTGACTGGCTTCTTGTTTTCAACTTAACGTACTGGGGATTGGTCCATGGTATCGTTCATTCCTCTCCATTGCTGATGGTGTTCTACTCTATAAATATGTCAGAGTTTAATTACTCTTCTGTTGATAGTCATTTTGTTTGGTTCCAGATTTTAGCTGTTTGGAAACTAGCTACTATAAACATTCCTGTAAAAATCTTAATTTCATCTCTCATTCTTAGGCTGAGTCATCAGATTAAGTTCATAAGACTCTACTAAACAGTTTTCCAAAGTGGTTGTATCACTTTACATGCCTATCAGCAAAATATACGCAGAAGTTTGAATTGCTTCATAGTCTCACAACATACGGTGTTTTCAGCCTTTTTAATTTTAGTGATTCTAGTGGGTAAATGATAGTCTGATGTGGTTTTAAATTTGCATTTCCCTGATGAATAATGACATAATGTACTTTATGTTCTTGTTGGCCATTTAATTTCTTCTGCATGAAGTGTCTGTTCAAGTCTTTTGTCCATTTTTTGAATTAGCGGTGTGTCTTTTTATTATTTGTTCATAGAAGTTCTTTATATATTCTGGGTAAAACCTTTTGTCAGGTATGTGTATTGCCCATATTTTCTCCCAGTCTCTCAACTTGCCTTTCTTTTCCTTACTGGTGTTCTTGGATAACAGAAGTTTTTAGTTTTGATGAGGCCCAATTTACCAAGTTTTTATTTTATGACCCATGTGTTTTGAGTCCTCTATAACAAATTTTTGCCTACCTAAGTTGCAAAGATATTCTCCTGTGTTTTCTTCTAGAAGCTTCATAGTTTTAGCCTTGACTTTTCGATTTGTGATTCAACATGAATTGTCTTTTGCCAATAGTGTGAAACAGGAGTGAGGGTTCATTTTCCCATGTTTGTGCTGCCTCTTTACAACCTTTCTACAGCTCATTCTACTTCTCTCCATTTCCCACAATTCTACTTCTAGTCAGGCTTCCGCTGCCGTCTCTGCCTCAGAAACTATTTGTTCATCCTTGGTTCTGAGGGCTTCTCTCTCCTTGGCCACTCCTGTCACTTTGTGTTTTTGCCTCTGTCTTCCCCAAGAAAGCTTCCAAGTCTTTCCCCCTTGTCTCAAGTTTTTCCCTCCCAGCTCTCTCTATGCTATCTTCTCTGTCTTGTGTTTTCCCCCCTCATTCCTTTGCCATATGAACCAGAGACCCTTTCTTGGTAAATATATGTCTTCTTATCTTAGACTCTGGTCTACTTTTCTGCCCTATTTCAGGCTCCTTGGAACCTCATTTCTGAATTACAACCACAGGATATAGATCTTCCCCCCTCCTCATATGTGCCAGAGTCACTCAGATCATCCAGGTGAATGCTGGACTGAGTCAGCCTTACCTGTTTGTTGAGATTCTTGGGCAGATTCATTTGTCATTTCCTGGGTCTCCATTGCACTACCTGGGTCACAAGCTGAATCTTCTTCCCTTGTGCTCATTTGCTGTCCATCACTGAAATACTCTGGGATTCTGGCTCTAGGTAGGGTGTCACCTGGATCACATTGGGAATGCTGAAGAAATTTTTTCTCTTTTCTTCATCATAAACCTCTTTTACTCTTTACTAATATCTACTACTAAAGTTAGAATTGGTGGTTATTGGTGCTTATTGGTTACATAGTTCATATGTGAGCATCAAACAAGTTAATTCACATGAAGTGCTGACCTTATGCCTAGTGGTCCATAAAAGTCAGGTGTTGTTACTATCGTCATGGTTAAAGTTATTACTGCCCTTTACTCTCTTCTCCCCTTTGTACTCCTTTCCATTTCCTCCCTTCTTTCCTACACAGCACCACTCCTTCTATATTCTCTTCTACACACAAAAACTATTCACTCTCTTCCTCTCTTTTCCTATATTATGAGTAATATTTACAATAGTTCCTTCTTTTGGCATCCCAAAGTCTTCTTCTTTGGACTTGTTACAAAGGACCAAACCTTTACTCCTTCCCAGACCCCTGAATTCCTAACTCACAAATGCTGCAGTCAGTTCTTCCCTTAATTCTGCCTTTTGTTCCCAGTAAGACCTCCTCTCTTGGGTGTATGTTCCAATTTTTTAGTTGTTACATCTGTCTGAAAATATTTGTGGATTCCACATCTGGTTGGTTAATTTAGAACCCATGCAACACACCACTCTGGCTTCCTATCTCCTTCTGCATCCCTTTCACAGGGTCTACTCTCCACTCAGGAGCGCAGTCCCCTGATCTGTGCTCTCCTTTCCTCTTAGAAGATGAGAAAACATGTTTCTACCAAGTCACAATTACCTTGTTCACAGCTTTGTTGGCAGTTGAGCATCTCCTTTGTCTCTTCATCATCAATAACTTGGTAATGGAATTTATCATGAATCACTGAGAAGAGAAAGAAAAAGGCAATTAGAGGTCTCAGGCAGTGACCAGCAGATGTATCTCACAATTGTACATCCAGATACATTCTGGACTCCAGTAATTCAGAGGGAACCTTTCAGCTCTCAGGGAACCCTGAGCTTTTGTGGGTCTCACATAGCCTGTGACTTGATGCTGCTCTGGGAATCCTGTAGCTGTTCCACACAGAGATGCGCCTCTCAAGTTTAAAAATGATGGAGAGTGGACAAGTTGTAAATCAGGGTTAAACCCCTTCAGAACGATCAGAGAATGGTGAAAGCCAATATAAAATAAATAATATATATGGAATGTGTTTTGTAAATTCTACATGCAGCAGGAATAGAGAAGCAGCACAGAGATTTCTTCAGGAGAAAGGTAATGTTTATAGAGAAATAAACCTACATTTAGAAAAAAAGCCCCAGCATCTTTAAGGACGGAGAATTGAAAAGAAAGGAAGGAGAGAAGTGAATGAAATGGACTTGAATCCCCAAATGTCATTGAAAGTTATAATTACCATTTTGGAAGCTTCTGCAAACTTCATGTAAATCAGGATAGGCCTTCAGGTTGACCATGCTGAACAAGACATTCAGAACTGATATGTCAAATATCTTCTCCAGTTCATTGAGAACATTATATGCCACAGTCTCCATAGGGACCAGATTTCGACAAGCTTCTTGAAAATGCTTAAAAACATTGAAAGTGCAATTTTTTAAATATGCATTTGTGAATTATAGAATAGTCAGATTGTAAAGAGGCCATTTGTTGTCTTGTAAAATGTTAGAATGTTACATATATTTAGATGACTCCTTAAATATTCTCCACCAGAAAAATAGACTTATTCTGTGAACCCAACTCTCTGGCATTGATGTACACTTGAGAGAGCTATTTTGAAGAATAAAAGAAGGTTCAAAGTTGAATATCGTGCAGGGGCTCTAAGAGTCTGGCCAGGATGCTTCAAGAGTTGGCCTGACTTGTCATGATGGGCCATTTTGGTGACTAGACAATATTCCACTGCTCTCCACTGGTCTGAAGTCTCCAGGAAACCAGACAACCACTCTCCCCTGCTCTAGATCTGGCCAAAGGGCAAAGAAAATTCACAAATAGAAAGAAGGCTTGTTTTTAATAGCCTTAGGAAGACCCACTGCTAAGCTTTAGCTGCATTATAGGGCTCCAGAGATATCTAAAGAACAAGAAGCAATTTGGAAAGAGAGCAACAAGCACTTTCTTTCAAATTTATCCTAATGTGACACAACTTCCCTGTGAATTTCAATAATCTCAGGTTCAAGTGTGTCAAATAAGAGGGCTTTGTAAAGAAACATTACCATACTCACTTATTTACATTAATTATAGTTATCAGTGTTATATTGTATAAATATACCTAAGATGCTCTATAACTATGGAGCATTCCATTTCCAGTCTTGCCACATCTCCTTCCCGTGTCCCTCCATCAACACTTACTACAGAAGAAGGAATACTTTCTGGGGTGCTGCTTTTCCTGTCACCTCCTAAAGTATAGGATGGTGAAGGTCCACACTCACAGGGGGCCCCTTAGCTTGTTCACTGCATCCTGAGGTTTGCAATAATAAACAGCGAGGGGCTGTTTATCAGGAGGAAAGTCTCCTTACTTACTTCATACTTCTGCTCAGGGATGAAGCCACGGTCTCGGAGGCCCATAAGAAAAGGAAATGGCTTCGTTATTGCACTTGCAATCTCCACCTTATTTTCTTTGAAGAGTCTGAAAATGAACTCAAAGAAAACCTGCTCCTCTAGAGTCTGGTCCTCTGGGCTCTGGTCCCTGATGAACATCCTGAGAAACAAAGACATGATATAAAGATAGTCATTGGGTTTCTAAGAGACTTGTGGTGGCTGGAAGATTTTAGACATGAAAGATAGTCAATGGAGAGCCAACACATGCAAAATAGTGTTCTTGTGAAGAGACCAGAATAAATGGAATTTATTTATTTAAAGAATAATCAAGGGTGCAATACAAGAAAACACTGAGCTTAAGAAAGGCTTGTACATAGAAGTGAAAGATTTCACCCTGTGCCAATCAAAACTACTGTAAAAGGACTTTTTCACCTGAACCCTCTGGGGAAGACATAGAATTTTGAAATGTTAAAATTTTTACAGGAATTAATATGATATTGTGATGCTTAATTTTATGTGTCAACTAGGAGGGTGTTTGGGGACAAGATTAACATTTAAATTGGTAAACTTTGAGTAAGCAGTTTGCCCTCTATAAGGTGGGTGGGCCTCATTCAATCAGTTGACAGCATGAATAGACCCAAAAGACCAGCCTCCCCAAGTAAGAAGAAATCTTCCAGCAAACTGTTTTCAGACTGCAAATGCACCATCAGCTATTTTGGTGTCTAGCCTACTGACGGCCCACACTGCAGATTTTGGATTTTCCAGCCTCCATTTTGTGTGAGCCAATTCTTGTAATACATATTTCATCTTTACAGAAATAAAAAACTGAACAAACTAAATATCAATGATTTGTCATGTACCTAACAGAAAATTGAGGTCACAGAGCAAACTGCCACCCCAAAATCTGTATTGATAAGCAAATTTGGAGAATCACAGATAAGATCAGCTACCTGAAGCAGAAGTCGCTAGATCCATAGGCCTGCACCTCCCAGGAGAACCCAGAGCCAGTGTGCCCAGTGGACAGCTTCAGACCACATCGAAGCACCACCCACAAGTGAAACACTCAATGGGCAGACTCAGAATGCATCAGAGCCCCACTGAAGTAAGTCCTGCTCTGTAGGGTGGGCCCCAGCACAGCTAATAATCCACAGTGGCTGCAGCCAGTCCTTGAAACCAATCGGCCTGGGGGTAGATCCCTCTCCATGATGTGCCAAGAGCAATCAAGGTTCAACTACAACAGGAGGGTGTACACAGTTCACACTGGGGGGCACACCTGGATTGCCCAAGTTGGATGAACCAGGAGGCTGTGTCACTGGACCCTATACGACACCTAATAAATTAGGCCACTCCACCAAGCCCAGGAGACATAGCAGCTCTACCTAATACATAGAAACAAACACAGAGAGGCTGCCAAAATGAGGAGACAAAGAAACATGTCCAAAATAAAAGAACAAAACAAAACTCCAGAAAAAGTCCTAAACCAAATGGAGACAAGCAATCTACTAGATGCAGAGTTCAAAACACTGGTTAAAAGGATGCTCATTGAACTTAGGGGAAGCATAGATGAACTTAGAGAGAACTTCAACAGCATAAAAAAGGACAGGGAAACCATCAAAAAGAACCAATCACAAATGAAGAATACACTAACTGAATTGAAGAATAATTTATAGGGAATCAACAGTAGAGTAGATGAAGCCAAGAATCAAAACAGTGATGTGGAATATAAGGAAACAGAAAACACCCAATCAGAACAGCAAAAAAAAAAAAAAAAGAATCCAAAAACATAAGGATAGTGTAAAGAGCCTCTGGGACAACTTCAAGTGTACCAACATTTGCATCATTGGGATGCTGGAAGGAGAAGAGAGAGCAAGAAATTGAAAACCTATTGGAAAAAATAATAACAGAAAACTTCCCTAACCTGGACATACAAGTCGAGGAAGCACATAGAGTCCCATACAAGATGAGCCCACAGAGGCCCACACCAAGAGACCCACACCTAAGTAAAATGCAAAAGGTTAAAGACAAAGAGATAATTTTAAAAGCAGCAAGAGAAAAGCAATTAGTTGCCTACAAGGGAGCTCCCATAAGACTGTCAGCTAATTTCTCAACAGAAACTTTGCAGACCAGAAGGGATTGGCAAGAAGTATTCAAAGTGATGAAAAGCAAGGACCTACAACCAAGATTGCTCTATATAAATATAAATATAGAATCAAAGGACAGATAAAGAGCTTCCCAGACAAGGAAGGCTAAAGGGGTTCAGCACCACCAAACCACTACTATATGAAATGTTAAAGGGTCATCTTTAAAAAGAAAAAAAAGATTAAAAATATAAGTAATAAAATGGCAATAAATACATATCTATCAACAATTGAATCTCAAACACNGAAGAAAAAAAAGATTAAAAATATAAATAATAAAATGGCAATAAATACATATCTATCAACAATTGAATCTCAAACACAAAATAAACAAACAGGCAGAACAGAAACTGACTCATCGATACAGAGAACATTTTCATGGTTGCCAGATGGGGGGCTTGAAGGAATGGGTGAAAAAGATGAAGGGATTAAGAAGTACAAATTTGTAGTTACAAAATAGTCATGGGTATGTAAAGTACAGCATAGGGAATATAGTCAATAATATTTTAATAACTATGTATGGTGTCAGATGGGTATAAGATTTATCAGGATAATCAGTAAGTTATATAAAATCTCATCACTGTAGTATGCACCTGAAACTAATATAAAATTGTATGTCTACTGTAATTGAAAAATAAAAAATTATTAAAATTTAAAAAAAAATTTTAGTAGTATCAAAGAACATGAAACAGAAATTGATAAACTAAAAGAAAAAAATAGACAAATCCACTAATGTTGAAGAATTTGCAGAAAGAGCAAAGATAGGGAATACATAAAATGGAGGAAAGACTCCATTCTTGTTTTAACTAGCCCGGGTACTTAAATTTTTTTGAACTTTCCAGTCCTATGTCAATGCCAAGATATACATCTAGACCTCCACATAGGCCTCTGATTATCCTCTTAAGTGTTCAAATATACAAACTTCTAGATAGGCTAACGAAGAAAAAAGAAGACAAATTGCTAATATCAGAAACAAAAAAAAAAAATCACTATTCATATCATGGATGTTAAAAGAATAATAAAGAAATAATACGGACAACTCTATGCCTACAAATTTGATAAAAAATGAAATGGACAAATTCCTTAAAAGACACACACTACCAAAACCCAACAACAAAAAATAGATCCTCTGAATAGGTCTATATCTGTTAAATGAATTGGATCATAATTAATAGCCCCCCTCCAAAAGAAAGCACCAGGCCCAGATGGTATCAATAGTGGATCTACCAAACCATTGCAACTACAATCTCTTTCCAAATATGGAAGCAGGGGCATCACCTCCTAACTCATTTTATGAGGTCAGCATTACCCCCACCCTCCCTTCTCAGTGCCTTTCTTTTCCTGTCTGAAGGCCAAAGGCTGTCTGGACTTCTAGCTCTACTCACTCATCTTCCCATGTTATGGGAGTCGGTGGAGGAGTGGTGGTCAGGATGTGCTTTCTGCTGCCAGGAGAGACGGTGCTAAGTGCTGAGGCCCCACCATACTGCACTGCTGCTGGCAAAAATGCAACTGCCTTCTTGGGGCCTGGCCAGTGCCAGAAATAGCCCCAGCTCAGAGTTCAGGGTTAGGGGAGTTTCCATACAATTATACCTTGTTTTAATTTTTACCAGCAAGAATATATTGTCTTTATCTTGTACTTATAATATTATTTTTTAACTTATTTTTTAACCTTGTATTTTATCTTTTATTTATTTATTTTTAATAAGAGCTAGTGCTTTATTATTATTTTTAATATATCTTTACTGATTTCAGAGAGAGGAAGGGAGAGAGACAGAAACATCAATGATGAGAGAGTCATTGATCGGCTGCCTCCTGCACGCCCCCCACTGGGGATCAAGCCCGCAACCCAGACATGTGCCCTGACTTCCGAACCATGACTTCCTGGATCCTAGGTCGATGCTCAACCGCTGAGCCACGCCCGGCCGGGCTTAATTTTGTATTTTATAAGACAATTTGCATGCTCCTCTAATCAGACAAAATAATTCACTCCCCACCTATTTTCACTTCCTCCTATCAAGTGTTCAGAGGCACTTGGATCGGCTATGCGGCTCTGAATAAAACTGGTTCCCAACTACCTGGAAACTGAAAAAGGTTTGACAAGAGGCATTTTATTGGAATGTTAACTTTTCTAAAAAAGACCTTTTCTGGACAGAGTTGTCTTTGGGTGGGGATAGAGGAGGCGTGGGGGAAGTGAGAGGGCTCAAGAGTATGAGAAACCGTTGAGCCCTGCAGCAAGGCCCAGCTGCATGGCCGTTGCAAGGAAATACGGTAATGTGAGTCATGTGGCCTTAAATTTCCCCACTTTAATTTTAAAAACCTAATGTGCTCATTATGTATTTATTTGTAATCTCACTCTATTGCACACCTGCTGAAGGGGAGACAGAAATAACAAGAGTAGACGCTGACCTTACCAGAGATGAAGGACGGGAGAGGACACCAGGACTGACCTGCAGTTGAGATCAAGGCCTCCATCTGCCATCTGTTGTTCCCACTGGGCCATGGCCCTGGCCTAGGATCACGCTTGCTTAGACTTTCCCTGACCCTCTGCCTCCCCACAGCTCAAACGAGAACAGCTGCCCACTGAAGGATCCTTCAAGCCCGGTACCCAAAGGGTAAAAGAAAAGTGAAATGGCTGATCAGTGTGACGTGTCTGCCCCTCCCCCCAACGTCCAAGGCTGGTCTCAGTTCCGGGGAGGAGGGACATGACCAAATCTAGGCAGAATACAGGGGCCACATGTGCACACAAAGGAAAGATGGCAGGGAAGGCTCATTAACTCAAAGGAATCAAAGTTGTTTTGAGGTGAGATGGCACCGTCATATGGGGATTTAGTGAGCTTCATGTTTGCCCCTTCTGCTTGCTCGAGAAAGAAGAGGGAACGTAAAACGTTTCAGATCCTGTCCATGGGTTGTGCATATACGCACATAAGTTCTTTCGTTAATCTCTTCCCACCACCGCCACCCCCATCCCTCTGAAACACATCAGTCTGTTCCATGCTTCCATGTCTCTGGATCTACTTTGTTCCTTAGACCCATGGACAGGCAACGGTGTGGTGAAGGCCTGGGGGGGGCTGGAGCAGGGTTGAGGGGGTCACTGGGGGGGAAAAGGGGGACATCTGTAATACTTTCAACAATAAATTTATCAATAAATAAATAAATAAATAAATTTCAGATCTCTTAGGCCTGTGGGCTGCCGGGCACAGCAGTGAGCCTCAGACTGGAGGAGGTGGGCCCAGCATTGGAATACGGGGCTGGGGACAGCCCAGAAGCCCAGTGTTATGAAGTGGAGAAGATGTCCTTCACCATTCTAGAAAGCAGCCAGAGAACTCTCCCAGCTCCTATAGAGGGAAGGGCCCAGTTTGGGCAGAGAATGTGGAATCCTAAGGTTGCCTGAATATGTGGGCACTTTACAAACACAGCCAGAGTTACTAGGACAACTCCTAGTTTCCGCTAGTCACTGAAATCTCGAGGAGAGCAACAGGCTTCTCATAGGATGGGAAAAGGGTTAGAACTGAGATACTCAGCCCTAATTCTGCAAAGGATTTGAAGCAATTTATAAAAACACACCGTATAAGCATAAAGTGGAAAGATAAAGAAATGGGAGCAGTGTGAAAATAAAATAAATACGCAAAACCAGAGGATTAAAATCCAGGCAGGACCATGGGTCAAAGACAGAAATGAATGGGAACCAGTGTGTCTGTGGAAGCCAGGGCCTCAGTCACAGCTGTGAGCCAAAGGGTTGGGAAGCAAAGCAATCTTTTTCCAAAGTGTGGTCCACTGAATCCTACTTCCTCTGGCTCATTATAAATGTGCTAAAAATTCTGCATAAATATGTTTGCAAAATATAGAAGGCAGGGATTCTACCCCTCTGTCAACTTGCTCTTTCTTTCCCTCTG